CGGGGTTGTTGCTGAGGGGCGGCGGAGGTGGGGGCGGGCTGCGCGCAGCACCCGCCGGCTCTGCAGAGGGGCTCCGCTGGGGTGGTGCCTCCTCAGGTGCAGCTGAGCTGGGTTCTGGTCACCCCTCTTCGGCTAGCGAGACCCCGGTGCCAACCTACATCCAGCTTCTTCAGTGCCTTCCTGCGGAGGCTGCAGGCGTCATTTCGCCTTTTGGTCTGCGCCGTCACCATTCAAAGCCTCCCCGAGTCATAGGACACCACTTCCTCCTGATCCTGGCCTGCTTGGCCACCCACAGCGTGGGAAGGGTGACACGCGACTGAGGGACGCCAGTGCCTCGTGCTCTCCCCAGTATGGACAGAGCAACCCTAGGGAGCATCCCAGAGGTCTTCAGGAAACAGCACACACGGGTGCTCTGCGGAGCATCTCCTTCCAGTTCCTCTTGACTCGAGTCACCCCTCTCTCACTCATTTCCTCTGCTGTGCCCTGAAATCATCTCATTTCTCCCTGTTTTCGCCCTTTCATCCCAGGCAGGCTGTCAAAGTTTTGATAGGGCTGGCCGCCTCCCAACCTTTAGGGACAATGGTCATAAGTGCAGGCATGAAGAACAGTCAGACCCAAGGACTTCAAGGAGCCTTTCTTAGCCCACTAGATAGTCTGGTCCAGGAATCTTAGGAGCCATCCTAGGGAAAATTCTTAGCTCCTGAAATTGAAGCTAATTGGTCTAAAAGTAAATATGGCCAAGTGCGTCATAGGAAAGACACTTCTGCCTGAAAAATGTGGAATTAATTACAAAACACTAAAAAGTAACGTAGCAAGTGGTACCTTTTGCTATTCAAGTTATTTATTTGCCGAATATAAAATACTAGGCGTTGGTACTGTTACAAACCTCTTCTTTAGTGTTTCTTTCTCAAAAAAGAGCTTCCATTAGCAGTTGAAACAGCTTTTCACTAAAAGACTTCTAAAATTGCTTTTTTAGATCAGGCACTTCTACGTATCTATCATCAGGTCTGTCTGACTAACAGGATTGCAGGCAGGACCACTCAGGATGTAAATGAAGAAGCAGCTTTGCCTGTGGTTGATAACTGCTGGTGAGGATGTGCAAGAAGGAAAGAACTCAGATTAGTTTCTCAAGCTGACAACTAGAAAAATAATATTTCTGAACAAAAGCATTTTGACCTCCTAGTAATGGTGAGATTAATTTTCACACAGCTGTTTTTCCAAACTGGAATTACACTCTGCAACACAATACCCAAACACATGCAGCCACAACAGATCTACAGTGTAATCACAGAGCACAAGTGCAGTCAAGAAGAGACACCCAAACTGTATTTAATCACAAATAGGCCCATTGAAGGATCTAGTTGAGAAGACTAATCTAGAAGTAATCTCAAGTATTTACTCAGGCAGCTAAGCCTTATACAGTCGTGTCATTACTAAATATTGCTAGATCAAAGCCAGCTTTGTTCTATCAGCTAGCTACATTATGATTGCTATTACACTGCCTTCTTGCCTCCTGATTGCCAGAGATATACCTAATAACAAATAGCTGTAAGTCCCCTTGCCTACGAAAACTGGAAAGCTTTAGGTTAAAAAAAAAAAAATCACTTGTGTATTCAAATATTTTGTGTTTATAAAGAAAATACTGTAACTAAGCTTCCACCCAGATTTGAAATAGGCAGGCAGAGTGTTACTTCCACAGAGAAGTGGTGCGTTATTTACCCAGTCTGCCAGGTCAGCACGGAGACCTTCACAAGACAAGTAGTTCAGCTGTGGACAGTATGTGTATTATCAGCTTCTCAAATGGAACTTGAAGTGAACTAGGCTTTTCATTGCCAGGTAGAGGAATGAATTTCACTTGTGAATATGCATAAAATAGTATTCAGATGTTTGAGTGAAGAGATTAGACAGTCTCTGGGAATTAAGATGAACACAAGCCCTTCCACCTTTTGAGCAAAACATATTTCAAATCAGATCAGCTGCTTATTTCAGTAGTTGGCATTCCATGCTTGATTTCCGGAGACATCAAACGAAAGAGAAGTAGTTCTTTTTCTATGTGTATACAAATGTAATAGTAACAAAAAATTCCCAAATACTTTTGTAGACTGGTACCCACTGCTTAGCCCCAGAAGATGTTCAGTGCTGCATTGTTCAACCTACTCTTGTCCTTAACCATATGGACCATCTCTATCAGAAAAAGAAAAAACAGTATTATAATCTACTTGCTTGGTAGATTTGTTTACCTCTGTTCATTCTTCCAGAAAGCTGATGCTCGCTGCAGGTTGAAGTATTATTTTTGGGATAATTTTATCCTGTGGATAACTTATATTTCAGGTAGCAGCCTCTCAAGCAAATAGTGCCATTAGATCAGGGCTAGCCCCAAGCAGTAAGGACTAGACCTGGGGCGTAAACCTATACATGTGACACTACTGCCAGTCTCCTACATGAGTGAGTTCTCTGTGGGGTGGAGGTGCTTTGTGGAGTGAAAATTAAGCTTTCTGTTTCTTCTTTGTTTTGTGCATATTGATATGGTTTCAAGATTTTAGAAAGAACTAATTCCACAGATCCTTCTGATTTGTTCATACGTAAGCCAGAATACCAGTGACCAAGGAGCCTGTGAAAGCGATCACAGAAGTTAGCAGCTTAAAACGGAGGTGACCAAATACATAAATACATATTAAATTCATATTCATATTCTCTAGCACAATCTCATATTAGATCTCCTATGCAGAAATTGTAGTGTTGCATATTGTTAGGGCTACGTAATCCTTCACAAGAGACCCAAAAACTTTTTTCAGTTTCCCAACCTGTAAATGTTTGACCTGAAATGTTTCATGCTTGCAGTCTACTTCAGGTGGATTGTTTTTTTTAGGTTTTTTAAGGAAACGGTTTACTTAATCTAAAACTGGAATCAGAATATTACATACTTCTTCCTGCATAAAATATTATATCTAACATCCATTTGGTGGAGAAGCTCTGCTACGTTTTTGGAGCCATAGATTGGTATTTGGCACAAGGCTGTCTCATATCTAGGAAATTCTTTTTCCTGCTCCTTTGCAACACTCGCTAAACATTGTCCATAGGTATAAGCCTTTGAGAAATCCAAGCTGGCATATGCTCTGTGAACATTTTTAACTTAGTAGTAAACTCACAAAGACCCCAGCAGTACTGAATGTGATCTCACTCAGGGACACAGGGACTGAGCAGAACTTTCCTGTAAGTTACTGAGCACAGGAAGTAACTTACTGAGCACAGCTCTTACTGAGCCTGAGCAGTGGCCTGCAGAATCTGTACGTTAGAGAAAGGAGGCTATTTTTCTGTAATCATAGGGCTGAGGCTGAAAAGCAACATCTGTAGTGGTAATCTAAACAGTACCAAGACTTGTTCTGTAGCCTTGAAGCCAGCTGGCAGAGTCTAGACACATGCATACTATTAAGCTGTTACAGACAAAAAAGTGGCCACATCCAAATTTGCTATTGGGAATTGTCTCTGACCCATGCTAACTGCAAAACTGTGCCCAGAAGTTGGTAAACTGTTAGCTGGCTCAGGCTCAACAGGAACCATGATCTAACACAGTAGAGACAGTCAAGTTCCAGTTCCCAGGCCCCGAGTACTGTTTAATTTACCTGTATAGATGTAGCTGGTATAGATATACTTGTGTAGATGTATCTAACGGTCCAGCAGCACGCAGACATAAGCTGCTGGCTTGAATACAACAGGGGCAAAAGTGAGATGCAGGAGGAATAATGAAAAAATGATGGGGGAGAAGGAGGAATGAAGATAAGAAGGCAAAGGGAGTTCAGGACTGGGAACAAGAAGGAAACAAAAGAGAGATTGAGGAAGGGAGAAAGGAGGGAGCCTGAAGTTGTATAAAAAGCAAAGAAAATGTCTAGCAATTAAGCAGGACAGCATTTTCCAAACTAAAGTTTGGGAAGTGACACTGCACGACTTGTTTCATCCACTACATTCAAATGTGCTAACTGCAATTAAACGGAGTACACGGAGAGACACCCAAATAGTTTGGAAATGCCAACACAGAAGGAGCTCTTTACATTTTAATGTCATGTTGTTCAATTATCTAGTTGTAAACAGAGTTAAAAGGCATTTACCATTCGCATCCACGTTGGCATAAAGCCTTTGTATAGAGACATAAACCCTTCACCCTGTACAGTTTGAATCAAGCAATCCATGGAAGACTTATACAGCAGACCTCTAGCAACATGCAAGGAGAACAAATATTGTTAGGATTACAAATACACACTTAAAAATCCCATCTACATGAAAAATAGTCTCTATCAGACAAATTTGTACAAGCAAGAGCTTTTGTAAGCTCGCTGGAGTTTAATCAGAACGGAATTATGCTTAATTAATTCACTAAGCTTAGGTGACTATTACAACAGAAATCTCCCGGATACGCAAAACTAAAACAGTAAAATGGTAATCAAAAAGATGAAGAACAGATTAGAGATTGAGCATTTGGATCAACTTCTAGTGAAATCAGTGAGGCTCAGGGTTTAAACTTGCTACTAAAAAGTCAGTCTCTGAAATGTCCATACCTTCCGTGATTACCTCTTGGTTGGTTCATTATCCGGGTTTTGACTACATCAGCAGGAGTTCCTAGAACAGCAGCTACCAGGCCAGAACATGCACTATCAATAACAACAGAGACTTAAGGAAAAAAATCCTATGGTTTATCACTACAATTTAAGCAACATCATTCTAAGAATAAAGATATTTTAAAACAGTAATTATGAAATCATTAATAATACCTCGTAACTTAATGCAAACTTTATTTAGGAAAACACATGCTACTATTCCTCTTGCTCTGTCTCAAATATCCTCTCAGAGCCAGCTGCCCTAGTCTCTATACGTAGTTCTGAGGCAGGAATAAGGACCCATAATAGGCAATCTATGATACTGTTTATATGAGGCAGAATTCTTCATAATTTAAGAGAATAAAAGAGATCATTCTGCAGAGATTATATCCCTCACTCTTACTGTTTGCTACAATTAAAGCTAGATTAGACGAAATACGAAAAATTCTAGAAAAAGGAAAATTCCTGTAATCTCAAAGATGAGAACTGAGATGTTTAAATGTATTTTTCACATTTTATATCCTCCAAGCTATATACTTGGTGGCATAACTTCAGTAAAGTCAGTGGAACTATGGTGGTTTATCTCAGCTGAAGATCCAGCTCTCCCCCCTTGCCCCCAAAAAATCAGTCAACTGAAGGAGAGTTAAACCAGAAGGAAACCAGAAAGCACACCTACACTTACCTTACAGGAAGAACTTGTTACAGAACTAGCAGATAGCACGGTTGTGAACTGACCATACACACATAAGACAATTTTGCTTAGGTGAATTATGACACTGAATTTAAGTGCCATCATATAAATGGGGTATTAATTCTTACCCAGGAGAGCTTCAAGATGCGTGAACGTTAAGCATCAGTATAATATCTTTGAGAGAGGTATGGAAAGCCTTGAAAACAGATCTTTAAAATGGTCATACAGTACAAAGAAGTACAAGGAAGAGAAGAAATGCAGCATGAAAAAAAAAAATCAAGATGTGCACATAACTGATCAGATACAGTACCCACTGAATACTCTATCCAGTTCCAGGCAAACCACTCCCAGGAACAGGAGCGTATGTCTACTCCTAAGAAGAGATCCAGGGATCTATCTGTAAGTGTGTCCAACATTAACACACTCTCATGAAGCAACATTGCTGTTATTTGTTCTGGCCCTAAAAAAGCCAAACATTTTGCTACTCCATACTTAAAGGACACGTTGCTTAAAAGTTCTTCACTGTGGAAATAATTATGGAATTACAGGTAGTTCCTGTATTTTTTTTTCCCAATGGCTCCCTTTCAGTCCTTACTTCTTTGATAAAGCAGGGAATATAGTATCAGAGCAAACTCTTCCTCAAACACAGGTATTTCCCAGCCCTCGTTTCCTAATTATTTCATATATTAACATTCTTTTCTTAGAATTGGTTTTGCTGTGTAACAACATCACATTGAATTTACCGGATGGAAGTGGAAAGAACTGTGCAAAATTAGGTGGAGCGTTATCTCCGCTCACATAGCAGGCAACTGAAGCAGCTCACAGAGCAAGACACACCACCCAGCCAAAGACATCCCCCCCCCGCCCATTTCCTAGTGAGGAGAGAGGGAAGCAGAAAAAGGCATTTCCCTGAAAACAATACTGCTCCATGATTAGACCATAGTCAAGGCTATGATTGCACTAGATGCACCTCATTCGTATGAGAATACCATGTAATGTATCACTTCTAGTGAGGACAGTTTTTATAGCTATAGTTGCATCCTTTGTGCCTTTTGAACAATGATGTCCTCTCAGACAAAAAAATCCCTGTTACTATAAAAGCGCTTTCTGTCAGCAGTAGCACAGCCAGGGACTAGGAGCTTCTGCTAGCACAGATAAGTCATTCAGATCTAGACAGTGAAGCTGGAAATACTCCATAGTAAAAAGAGAGTGATAAAGGAATTGGGCACCTGGCAACACTGTGAGTCACGCTGTTGTCCACAAGGGGTGTGTTCAGAAGTAAAAAGTGTTTCACTGAGTCATAAGTGGTCAGATCTGTAAAGAAAATATTTAGAAAACACATTGTTAGAAATAGGTAGTGTTTGTGCTATTTATTACCAATTCAGGACACGGACTTGGCAAAACCTAAATTTCTGATGCAGCGATTGACACAGCTACTGTTAGAAAAGGGAGCTAATTTAGCCCTAGCCCAGCTCAGCGCTAGTGCCTAAAGTAGATGAAGCCTGCAGGCCGCAGGACTGAATTGCAAATAAGCTCGAGAGACATTGCTGAGGATGCGACTGCAAACCCAGCTAGAACCAGCCCTCAAAGATACAGAACACAATGGCCAGAGGTAACAGTTAACCCTGGGATAAGATAAGGCACTGTGAAGCAAGAATATAGCAACTGTCCCAGGATGTAGATGTGAGCCAATCGAAAGGAAAGAGACCACCGACTCAGTAAAGAAGACTGGAAGAGACTGTCACTAGCTGGCGGGGAAATTTGACTGTAAGGAGTATAATTACCCCAAAATTTCTTTGTTTGGGGTCCCTCCCCAGAGGCACCCAGCTTGAGCTGTTACTTTGCTGTACCGTCATTTAAATAAATAATTAAATTCACTGCTAGACGTATGTGAAACTCTGCTCCTAGGAAACCTAGGGTTGAATTATTTCTATAACAGTTAACTCTGCCCCCTTTCTGATGACAATTGGCGAACCTACAAGTTGCTGCTCTTGCTCCTGTCATTACACATATGAGTATGTCCTCCACTTCACTTCCTTCTTCTCTGAGTTACCACACAAATGATAAAATGGATCCCAAATGGATAACTTTCCAAAATAACTCATTCACCAAAATCAGAAACAACACAATAAAGATGGTTGTACCTCTCCCATTTCTGTAACAGTTTGCAAAGGTTATCAAATATGCTGGAAATGTTGGGCAATAATAGTAGGTACGTGTGCCATGGACATTATATCATGAGTAGCTGAAAGCACACATGAGTTACAGTGTCTGGGAGCCTGAATGAAAGATGGTGATCTGAAATGAGTGGAGATCTGGGATACATTTCCAGTGTCCTCGCCTGAAAACTCAAAGCTCTGCCTACTAAGCAGGATGATCCTCCCAGCTCTTTCTAGTGCTTTACAGCCCAGTCATACCCAGTGGTAAACATTCCAATTGTAAAAGAGTTCATGTGATAGACAAAACCTCAGAAGGGAGATCAAAGACCAATATCCGAGCAGTTTTGGGCAGGCACACGAAGGCTCTATCTGTATATGGGAAGCGCAAGAGTTTCTTGGATCAGTTGAGCACTCAGGCAGCAAATTCACCCTATTTCAGGAGACTGCCAGGGCCATGAGGGCACTAATGGGCCTTACTAGCCCCGACCAGCCTCATCTGGTCCTCCACCCGCTCTGCTGTCCATGGGCCCCATTCCAGCTCAGCCCTGGGCTGTCAGTCCCTGCCTGACCTATTCTGTAGGTGTGCCTTTCCACAGCTCTGTCACAGGCATACCTGTGCCTGGCCATCGACCTTGCTGATCTGGACCCTGACCCAAAGGCTGACTTCCCAGCCTCACCTGGACCTGCCTCATCACTATGGAGTTGCCCGGTGATCGCTGGGCTGTGTCCCAACCAGACCTGATCCTTACTCACCTTCCTGGCTTGACCTCAGAGCTGTCTCATCATCACAAACTTGCCTGATGATCTGGACTCTTGGTTGAACCTGGCTACTATCTCCAGGCCTCCCCTGCTCGCCTCGCTTGAGGCAATGGGACAACTGGCAAGGCCCCTGCCCTGTTGCCTGTGTTATCGCAGTTAGCTCTTGGCTCCCCGTCCCTTACAGAGCAGCCAGCCCTGGCTGCTCCCTATCAGTAACTCAGGCATGAACCATTCCTTTTAGCAACTTGATTTCTACAGGGAAGAAAGCCAGGTGCACAAGCCAGAAGTTAGATGCAGTGCACTCCAAGCAGGACCCCAGCAGAGCGAATCAAGAGACTAAGATTAGGTGAGCAGCTGAACTCTCCTTTCTTACAGTTTAGATGCAGCCTTAAGCACTGCAGAATAAGTTATTAAATTTACCTCCCATGTTTACCAGAGCAGCTCTCTGAACATTTGGCACCCATCCAACCCAAAGTCCCCGTATTCCTCCTTCAGACAGGATCTTCATAAATGCATGGTGCACTCCTTGAAATCTGAAATCAATATTCAACCGGTAAGCAGAGAATTCAGCCACAGAGAAATCTTTGCTCTACATATTCCAAGACTTTATTGAACCAAGGTCCCAGCTGATGCGCACCAACATTGTCAGAACAACGAAAATTTATACCCGTGAGGATCTGGCCTTCCCTTAATCGTTGACCTTCATACCGAAGCAACTTACAAAACACACCAGTTTCCGTAGTAAGCAGCAATCTGATCACTAATGATAGAAGACCCTCTGACCCCACGGGAGCATTGCAATACTAACCACATAAGAAACCAAATGACACCAGCAGGTTAGGGTACAAACAGCACTGTGTTCTGGTATCTGCAATGAGGGTCTCCAGCGTTGCTGTTTGCAGGCGAGCCTAGCCCTTCTCTGCTGCTGTGCTTCCTGCACAGCAGTATGAGAACAAGCCATTTGCCCCATCTCTACTTTCAGTTTCCCTTCTTCAGAAAGTGTCTTTCCCTTTCTCTAGAAAAGTACTGGAGTAGAACTGCTGCTGTGGGGCCGATATGTTAGAAGAAGGAAAGCAAGTACAAAGGGAATAAGGGAGAAGTCTCAAATCCCTTACCCGCTCCATTGCCCAGAGCCGTCAGGTGGTACAACTCTTCCCCAGAAGAGATCAGATCAGCCAGGGAAAAGGGATGGCAGAAGATAGGAGGAGAGAAGCCTACCCTTTCCCTCCTTCCCAACACTCAAGAAACACGACTCACTCCTGACTAAGAGGTTTAATAATACTGTGATCCTTGGTGTTATTCTGATACTTCTTTTCACATCCCTATAAAAGCTGCAAACAGCATTAGCTGTCACAACAGCAAGCAAGGCAGAAATACTGACTTGTTTCACATACATCACACAGTCTACCAAGTGGTATCAACTTCAGCCAAATTCAAACCTGTTCCAGATTTGAATATTTGATGTCCAGGTGGCTTTTTGTATACAACATTCAATAATTGTTGTTATTTGGGCCTCCCACAGCAAGTGAACCAGATTAAACAGGGGCATGATTAAACAAGCTCACAGGATGTGTTGCAGAAACGGGCTGGACAAATTACATTCATACATTTTTGCATCTACAATGGTCTGAATGTATGTCTCGCATGCAAGGAAATTTGCAACAGCCAAAGAGAAATCATTAACAGAAGAATTGCCAACTTAGAGAGGAACTAACCGTAATGGTTTTCCTTCTAACTTCCTCTTTCCTTCCATCTGCATCTGTACCTTCACCAGATCAGTTGGGCTGGCAAAAAACTGACCAATGGCACCTGCAGACATGCCTCCAACTACAGCTTTCCTGTTAAAATGGGAAAGAAAAGGTGCTCCAGAATGCACTGAAGATCTTAAGAAATCACAGTGCTTGATCTAAAGAGTTCAGCAGCATTGCCCAGGTGAAACAAATTTAAACGACTTTTTCTTATACTAAGAGCCAGAGTTAAGTTAGTAACTGTGGTAACTGTGGATCATTAATCATAAATTAACAAAATGCTCTCCTGCTTCTTCAGGTTACATGAAGTTCCTCACTTAAGATTTAAAGGCAAGATGGCAAGATACACAAGTAAGAGATGTTGCTTCATATATTACAATAACTGAAGGGTAATATGAAACTCTAAACTACCTCCCAACATACAAAATTTTGTTTATCACTCACATCGCTACTAGATCGGTCACGTTAATTTTCTGCTTCTGCTTATTTTAGTATTATCTGCAGTTCCTCTTTCCCATAGCAACATGCATGAGAAGTATTTTATCTATATTAGATTTTATAAATCCCATCTTAAAAACATTTACATTTTGCACCTAAGATTACTGAGTACGTTTTGGAGTAAAATACTTGATTGGATATGATACTGTATATGATTATAAAAATGTATGACCATAATTTTAGCAATCAAAAAAAAATCTTTAAAATTTACTGATTTTTTGCAAGTGAGTTTACAGAAAAATCTACTTCATGCCGTGCAGGCAAAGGGCTACTTCTGTGGCTATCTGCCATCTGCATTCTCAAAAACGAATGAGATTTAAGTATTGCTGAGTTAAATCTACTCAGCAATAGTAGATTTAAATCTACAAAGAAAAGACCTTCTTTTGGCTTTGCATAGGATCACTTGTCTCCTCAGGAAAGATGCACAGATGTAATTTAGGCTGACGTCTGTCATACACACATGAACAAAATGGTGGCTTTTCCTTCGCAATCTGCTTCTTTAGTAGCCGGGAAAGCGAGGAACTCAATATAAGACCAGAATCAGCAAGTCTTCCTATTCCCCTCTTATAATTTAAAGGCATAATGACAGAATTTCTCACCCATGTTCCCTTTATCTAAGCAGCATGACAAGCAGCAAAACAGCAAAACTTTGCCATACTGCTGCTAAATAACACCTAGTTGGACCTATCCCTCCAGCAGCTACGTGTCTGAGATGTGCTAGCCCTCCCTTCTTTTGTGCAAAAGCGTGTTGGCTAATTGGTTCCAGGGGATATTTGACACCTCTGCTAACCTGCATGCAGTCTGACCCAGCCTGAAGCTAACCGAGCTCTCGGGTACCCTCTGAGCTGTGCGTTGTACGTGTGGCTAGCTGCAGGTCCACCTTCGCTCAGCTGAACTACAGCCTCTGGTTTTAATCTCCCAGTCCGCTGCTGTTACTCATATTGGCACTGAGTTTGTGCAATAGCTCACAGCTTCTCTAACAGCCATCACACACAGCTGTATGACCAGCTATGACTCACCTACACTTAAGAACTTCCCCTGCCCCAAGAGGAAAGAAAAAAAGAACTGCCACTACGAATCATGGTAAAGCTGCACTGCCTCAGCTCTGATCCAGGCTAATTCCTCCCAGAGACAAGCTGTGTCTTCCCAAGCAGCTATTTCTATGCGTGCGTTTTATCGTGTTCCTCTTTTACTAGGGCACCTTTACTAGGGTAATCATGGTCTTAGTTAAGCCCCGAGAAACTTATTTCAGTATTCCTTAATCCTGCTCCCAGTTGAATGAAAAAATACTGCTCTGAGCCAAAATCAGAAAGTCCATATGCGTGTTTAAAGTCCTGTTTTATGTTAACCCTCTTCAGGTAGGCAAACCATGAGGAAAAGATCCCTTTCTAGCCAGTTTTGCAGAACTGCTGCAGTAAGGGCAATCCCAAAACAGGCAACAATATAAATGCAGAATTACCAGAATGGAAAGCTTCCATCCTCAGCCCTGCCAAGCACAGAGTCACGAAGATGTTCATATGCAACTATCCGCACTCCAGAGTATACTGCGGAAAGCAAAAGTGGGAGACAATTCTTAGGTCTGCCATTTCTGGATGTCGCACTACTATAGAAAGAGCAAGAGATTAGTTGTAAAACATTACAGAGTTTGGCGGGGTCTGCTAGTCACTGACTTTCAAATCCATGATCAAAATGGATATGAAAGTCCTGGATATCGGGGCAAGGGGCGCTGACTGGAATAAATGCCAGAACTTCTTAGTATCAGAGAATCTCTCTGGCTAAGCCATACGTCTTCCGAGAGTCAGATGGTTACACCAGCATGCTCAGGAGACGCTACTGCATTGCTGACCCTGCTTTTCCTGTATGAGTGCTCCTTCATTCTCAGCTGGCTGCCCAGCAACAAAACCTCCCACAAGTGCTTTTGAGGTTTGCTGCTGTCACTGTATTTGCAAATAAAACACAGAGAGCTGTTACCTCTGACAAAACTGCTGATGCATTTCTTCATCCTACTGCTTGCAAACTTATCTTTTTTTCCCAGCCTATCCCCACTTCCCTCAAATAAACCAAGTGGATGCCAAATGCCTGTCTGCGCTGTAGAACTTCCTGCAAAGATGACAGGAAAATTGTATTTTATTTTCCCAGAAGTCAGAATAAGGCTGTGAAGGATTGGGCAAGGGAGGGAGGAGAGGGGACTGAGCCAGCCTTATGTATTTCTGAGTGAGGTTGCAGGGTAGACTGAAGAGGTCCTTCCAGATATATCTAAAGTACAACGAGATATGGCAGGGTCAGGCCACAAGGCTGTTGACTACAGAAGGCAGCACCCTAACTTGTCCCAGCATGAGCAGATAGTTACCTATGTGCCTGTAGAGAGCAGGTGTGGCTCCTTGCCAGAGCTTTAGTAAGCCTTCCTCTTGCACAATGCCAACCGCAGTACGCAGCATACCGCGGTAAGGGACAACTTGGCCAGCAACAGTTCCACTCCGACGAATGGCAGCTTCACCTTGGACCTGCAGTCGAGTTTTCGTGAGATCCAGGGGAAACGTCACTGAAGAGAAACAGCATGGAAAAAACATGAATATGGCTCCACCTGAAGAGACCTACCACACTGGTAACATCTGTGCCAAAATATCTCCCCGCCAGGTGGTGAACTGGACTGTCTGAGCACAAGCACGCAGCAGGGACCTTATCCAACAGGGTATAAGTCATCAGTGGAGAACAAAAGGCAATTTACATCCGACTTTGCTAAAAGTGGCTTTTAGCACTAAGTAACAAAAACACATTTCCATCAAACACCAGTTCTTCTCCCTACTTCTTTCTGAAGAGGTTCATTTGTTATGCAATACATATGCTTTCCAAGAGACTCTGGATTAAAAAATCTATTCCAGTTACTCCCCACAGTGGCAGAGGAATAAAGATCAGTCAAACCTCACATCAGGAACGTGGCCAGTTCTGCCCAACGCTGAGGAAGCACACGGTACAGAGTCAGGAACAACCTCACAATGACTGTCACATAATGCAGATGCTCATGTAGGTAAGCACGGGGCAAACAGGCCTCTGAATCCATCCGTCTTATGAACCACTCAAAGCATGCCAGATGCTCATGCACAAAAAGCACATTTAGCTTGTTGTTTCTCTCACTGGAATAAGATGGCCAGGGAAGGTAGCATACCTCAGTCTCCTCCCCATACTGCTCCTGAAAACTTGTGGGTACACAGGGCTAATGTGGACTAATTTCAAAACCCTCAGCAACCACTGTATGGCTGTGTATCTACACAGAGACCAGTAGTGTCCCACTAGGTGATGGTACTTCCCAGGCTGTTGCATTCTGTCTTAGGCTGTGAATTACCGGGAGCAGAGGGTGTCTTTAGCTCCGCATCTGTGCAACAGTCCACACAATAGGGTGCTTCCACGAGCAGGACTCAGAGGTGCTAGGGGAATGTGATTAATACTAACAGCCTCAGCAGACTTACAGTCTAGTCAAGCTTTAAGTTTGGGGTTCATGTTTAAAGACTTTCAAAAACAGAAAAGTCACAAATCATTAGAACAATGCAACAGGTTTGCTTGTACAAATTATACAATGTATGCTGAAAAATATTACAAATAAGTTACTGATCACAAAGCAGTGCCATGCATATGCAAGGGCTCTAGCTTCCTGCATTTCAGCAAGCACTTTAGTATACTCCACCAGACATCTCTACTGTAACCAGAAACACAAGATTCTGTTTTTCTTTTTCTGATTAACCATGGAAAGCAAATTCCTAAAGAAGTCAGCACCTTCCAACTAACTTAGGTAACAGATTGTCCTATTCGGTGTTCTTGCAGAAACAAAGCAAGCACAAAGCTTAAATTAGACAGAGCTTGTTTAGGTTCATGACTGCAGCTCTTAAGTCTCAGAGGCAAAGACTGAGATCTAAAAATCCCATGCTGCGGTCACAGATAAACTAGATGGCATAAAATACTTGCAAGGCTTAAATTATTGAAAAGTACAGTGAACAGAATGGAATGAACAGATTTTACGGAGCAGAAAACCCAGAGCAAACATCAAGGAGCAAGGAGGGACTGAAGTTCCCTCTTCCCCCCCATAAATAAATTTTGATCCCCTTCCCCCTAGCAAAATGATGGCGATTTGTACCTAGTTCTGCCACAGCTGCTGCACAGGCTGACAGAGTGAATTTGCTGGCTCGGGGCCACCTCTCTGGAAGAGGTAAGCTCTTCTCTTCTTCTGCAGGTAACATTTAGCATGTAACATAAGACTAACCAGCCACCCTGAAAGGATCTGAAAGAAACGAAGCCCTGGCCACACTGACATCAATACCCAACTAGGTTCTGGGTTGTTTAGGAGACAAATTTCTGAAGGTCATATTTCTACAGCGCCAGCACTAGCAACTGCAGCAGCTCAAATGCTTCCTGAAGATCCGCATGGTCCTTGCTCAGTGACATAAGAGACTCCTGCGCAATAGGCTCCTGGGAAATGTAGTCTGTCACCAACACCATTGTCCACGAGGAAAACAGCCGTGAAGATACAGTCTCACGCACAGAATTGCATTCTCTGCGTTCAAAAAAAAATCATTAGTGAGACCTCATGGTTATCAGAGCACGTGTGGAGTTTGTTTGCCTGGTCCGGTGTTTTGAGTTGGACAGACTCACGTTCTCTGTCACTGGCAACAGAGCCGTAGCTCTAAGGATCCCCAAACAATATCCCACTGCTGCACAGGCGCCGTAGCCACCTTCTGTATGACAGAGTAATTAATCCAGACTGGCCTTAACTGAAGCTAAATTAGCAACAGCAACACTTTGAGCTGAAGAAGTAGCTTGTTAATGTTTGTAACAGTTCACATCTCCTGCAGATTAGGCACAGAGTAGCACACTCTGAGCGAGGGGCACACAACCCTGGCAGGACAGAAGCTAGTCCTCGGTCAAACACCCATGCGTAAAAAGTTTAAAGTCCTTCCTTGCTGAACACTGAAGCCAAATTAATTGTGTGCCCTTCCTAATTTCTCTTAAATTAATGCAGGTGTGTTTATGTTCTCAGAGTGAAAAGAGCATTTGCTATTCAGGAGAAGCTGTTCATTTATCCTTAAGGCTCAGCCGAATCACTAAGTTAATCATTAACCGTTAATCACTAATCCTCATGTTGAGGATCTGAGGATTTTTAGGTCACAGAAACTTATCCCAGAAAACCGCCTGCCCCTGTTTGACTGACTAACGTTTTGGTATGTATTCAGGGTCACAATGACTCAACAAATGAAGGGCAGCATTGCAGGTAAAATACTCCACTAAAGTGAGATGAATTTATCTAGTCTGTCACCAACAGTCAGTTTTATATTGGATCCTTCTTTGGGTTAGAATTCATTAGAATTCATGCAGTAATGGGACAAACCACTGACAAGAAATACTGACTCTTGAATGGGAGGAAGGCCTATTGCAATTTAATGCAAACATGTCTGGCTGCACTGTGGGTACAATTGGTGTAAGAGCTTTATTCTAGGCAGCTTATGCAATCTACTGTTGAGTTTTTTTGTGCCTTCCTCTACAGTTATTCTCTGGGCTTGGGTCAGCTTGTGCCATTATACATCCGACCGTAGATCATCTATTCATAGAATAATTTAGGTTGGAAGGAACCTCTAGACGTCATCTAGTCCAGTCCTCTTTTCAAAGCAGGGATAACTTCAAAGTTAAATCAGGTTCTCTTGGCTGAACAAACCCCACTCTATCTCTTGCATCATTTGCTCCAGCCTCTTTAGCGCCCCTAAAGTGCTCTGGACTCTGTCCAGTTATCAACATTTTTCTTGTGCCCAAGGGGCTAGAACTGGACGCAGTGTTCAAAATTCAGCCTCACAAAAGCCAAAAAGGGGAAATAATCACTTCCTTCCACCTGCTGCCTACGCTTTTCCTAATACAGCCCAGGATGCAGTTGGCCTTGATCATCACAAAGGCCCACTGCTGACTCCTGTTCAACCTGTTGTCCACCAGGACTCCCCTGCCCTTTTCTGCAGAACTGTTACTCAGTTAGTCAGCGCTCAGCCTGTATCAATGTGTGGGGTTATCCCAATCCAGGTGTAGAACTTTGCATTTATTTTTGTGGAATTTCACGAGGTTTCTATCAGAGTATTCCTCCATCTTGTCAAGGTCCTTCTAGATGGCAGCCCTGCCATCTAGTGTATCCACATTCCCCCTAATTTGACATTGTGCAAGAGCTTGCTGAGGTTCATCCCATCATCCACGTCACCGATATTAAACTGCATCAGCCCCAGTGTTGACCCCTAAGGAATGCCACTGGTAACCAACAACCACTTGGACTTCAAACTGTTGATCTTTGAGGCCAGTGGTCCAGCCAGTTTCTCAGCTACCTTGTAGCCTGCCTGTCCAAACTATACTTCCCCAGTGTAGCAAACCAAACTATGTGAGACCAAGTCGAAAACCTTGCTCAATCAAGTTAAATAACATCCTCTGCTCTGCCCTTATCCACAGAGCCAGTCATTTCGTTATGAAAGGCAATTAATCAGGTTGGTCAAGCACAGTTTGCTCTCAGTAAATCCATAAAGATAAGTCCATAGGAGTCCACATGTTGTCACTGTGTTGTCTCCTCAACATCTTATTCAGTCCCTATATTTTCAAAAAATAAGGAAATACTTGCAAATCCACAAAGGATGACCCCATTGACACATGCCTGAAATAAGCCCCTGAATGGTGCAGCATCATATGGAGAGATCAAGTCTCCATGGGCATTTTTGTTCTTGGAAAATAAGTTATTTTTTAAACTAGACTGATTTGGGGATAGTTGTGGGGAAGAATGTTCTCTTCCCACAGGATCTTTGAAATGAATCTATCTGGAGATGAATGCTTGCTTGGACAGCTCTGTGATTTGTGGAGCAGTGAAATGCCAGTGCTCATGGAGGTCAGTCAAACAGCTGGAGTTTATTTATTCAAAAATCCTGAGGAAAAGAGCTTCAGCAGAGAGGACCCTCCATATTTATTTATTTCAATGTTTAATGAGACAGCATTTTCTGATTTCTGTCCAAAGTCAGTTTGATCAAAGGCTGCATATACACTGAGGGAGCGTGGACTTCAGATATGATGGAAGAACAGCAGCATGGTTTGGGAGGACTATGCGCTGCTGGGGAAAAGCAACCAGACTGCACCAGTCCTCTAACCTGCCTTCATCAGTGACAACTGTGTCAGTTTACATTGGAAAGACCACTAAGTATCATCAGCCGCAGGAATAAGGCCTAGTCTGATGGCTTAGCTGCATGGGAAAGTTTATTAGTAACTGTCATACCATCATACTGGTTATACTGTCCTCACAATGTGAATAATGCCTTTCATTAGCATCACTTATCCTTCACTAAATATTCCCAAGGAACAGAAGCTAAACTAAAAAAAAATCCAAAACCAACACAAAGCCTTTAATGCAGGTCTTCATGCAGAGCTGAGGGCTTTTCTTACTTGTATACATAGGTCACTTTAAACTCACAACTTAGATTGTACATATAAAAATATTTTCCAGTATTACAAGGCTCTTACCTTTCTTACCACTATTTCCCTTTTGTGGGAAAAGAATGTGATGGCTAAAATAAAATGAGGAAATACACATACAAACGCATATGATAGTTAAACATGTAAGCGTAGTAATATCATACTACTACATAAAAGCATAGTAAGTTAAAGGGACGTACCTGTTTCTTCCAGACAGTTTGCTGAAATGGAGATTCACATCCTACTTGTTACGGTTCAAATAGTTGGATATTTTCCTTTGCACCTATGCATTGTTTCCTACCAGAGTAAGTAACGTTTGAATGTATTTCAGAATGAATATTTAATGAAGGTCATGAGCCCATTTCCCCAGCCTGTCGAGGTCCCTCTGGTCTATCAACCACTCCTCCCAGCTTTGTTTCTTCTGCAAACTTGCTGAGGGTGCTCTCTGTCCCATCATCCAGGCTATTAATGAAGATGTTACACAGTATTGGCCTCAGTATTAACCTTACCCTGGGGTACACCACCAGTGACTGGCCTCCAGCTGGACTTCCTGCCACTGGTTACAGCCCTCTGAGCCCAGCAGTTCTCATCTGTGCCTCATCTACTGAGGCAGTTATCTCATCGTAGAAGGCTGTCAGGTCAGTCAAGCATGATTTCAAGGACGCCTGGTATAAACAGATGTGGAGATCACAGGCTCTCTCATTTCCTTCTACTGGCAGACCCACATTTTAGAAGACACTAACAAGATCTTACTAGTGTGTCCGGTGCCTGAGGAGCAGAGAATGGCTCCTGTGATCACTGTGACAATTCAAAACCTGCTGATGGTAATCACTGCAACATCAGAAGAGGTCAGGTTGGTTTCTTTTTATGTGTGTGTAACTGGCACACCAAAATTATGTTCAGAGTACATAAAAGTCAAGCTCTCAAAAATTAGGAAATGCAAACATGCAGACTGTCTGTGCATCTTTCACAGACTTACTCCCTCGTGTGTTATGTTGTAGTCTTTAATGACATGCTCTCATTCAAGTGAGAGATACCATTCATAAGGCTCACTGTTTAAGCTGAGTTCTCCAGAAATTTCTTGCCATCCGTCTCGTAAAAATCTAAATATCTGCACAGGCTGCCTTAATCACCGTCTCTTCACTTGCAATCTTGAATGTTCCTTAAAATCATTTCTTAAACTGAAGAGAAGAATGAGCCCACGGTCTTGCCACAGCCTCAATGTCTCTGGCTGCTTGTGTGGCGTTCCAGCAACTCCACGTTTCCCTTGTGCAAAGTTCAAGGATTTGTCACGGCAACATCTAAGTTTTGCAAGCAACAGAGTTGGTCCTCGTCCCAGAGTTGAGGAAAACTTGCTTAGCCTTTTCCAAAACAAGGGCTCGGCTTCTGGGCTGTTCTGGCTTTTGACATCCTGTCTCCATGGCAGTGATCAGCTGGCAAGATTGTTAAAAGAGGCCCTCTTGAGCAAGCTGGATAATGCTGGCAAGCGCAGCCGCGCTGGGTGCTGCAGCAGGAGGAGCAGCCGCTGCAGCAGGCAGCAAAGAGGCAAAATGGCTCTTGCTCTCCTGTTGGCAGCAATCCTGGGTCTTCTTATTGTCAAGTCTGTTTTGCTTCAGCTGAAACACCCGAGCTCCCCTCCTTGCATCGGGAGCTGGATCCCTTGGTTTGGAGCTGCGTTCCAGTTCGGGAAAGCTCCCCTGGAGTTTATAGAGGAAGCTAGAAGCAAGGTAATGGCTGTGATGGTGTGCCTGCTCGTGGGTGTGTCCAGGGTGACTGCCAGGAGAAAGGAGAAGGGACAGGAGAAACTTCAGCAGTAAGTTTGCCCTTCACAAAATCGACAGGCCCTTTTCTTTTTTTAATGTCAGGACCATTTAGCTTACAAGAATTAGTTTTGTATCAGCAAAGCTGCTGAGCCCAGGAGCTGATTCTGGGGCGATCTCTTGTGCTGTGATCGTCCTGTTTGGACCTAGCACCTTTGCCATTTTGCTTTTGCAGTCTGCCTATGTGTTAATCTGGGTCTCAGATACTTTGGAAAGCCCTATGACAGACACTGGGACCAGCAGCCTAGCTTTTTGCGTGCCTAAAGTTAGGGGAGATTTCTGTCCCAGTCTCAGTATCAGCTGGTGTCCCTGAACAGTCAAGAGAGAGAGGCATTTCTGGCAGGCAGCTTGTTTCGTCCTAAAAAATGTGCGAAAGATGAGTGTGAAGGCTCACCACCCCCTCCCCCCCGGACATGCCTTTTTTTCCTCTATGTCTATCTGTAGAGAGAGCCTAAATAATCCGTTTACATTAGATACCAAATTTCCAGACAGCTAATACTAACTGACAGAAAATACATCTTCACATTTTTATTAGTGATGTTATTACTTAACGCTGATTCAATGTAATCAGCCCCAGGTATTCAACGCTGAAGGATCACACATTCCACCACTTGCAAAAGCTATCTAAAAATGAAACTGCTGTAAAATCCTGAGATTTTAAAATTATTAATAAATACTGGATTTTTTGAATTTGCTTTCTGTTTTCGAACTATTAGCTTTCATGTTTACAAGCACTTCTTTGCAACAGTGGGTGTAATAAACTCAGAGTGTTAAATGAAAGCAGAGGCTCAAGTATATTCAGCTGATGTAGGAGATGTAAGAAGAGCATCAAGATCTGTGAATCTTGTAATAATGCACATTGGAGGCACCACAGAGTAAGCTCTTAAGTAAGATCTTCAGTTCTTTGGCTTCTGTGAGCATAACAGGTCAGTTTTTACATTGCGTTAATATGTTTTTGTTTTATCCTTCATGTATGCATGCTGTGTAAACTGAAAGGCAGGGTACTAAGTGAGGTGAATCCTGTCATAACATTATAATGAATGGATTTATTTATTCCATCATCTAAGGGCAGAAATGTAGGAGTGAGGCAAGAGGGCTTGCTTATTCAAGTCCATTCTCCTACTGCTTCAGAAACCATGTCATATAATCCTTTAAATAAACTGATCAAGCCTCACTTAAAAAACAGTCATAATATTTATTTGACTTTTTTATTAGGAGGCTGTTACAGAACCTTGCTGTTCTGTTGAAAACATATCCTGGTAGCAATCAGGTTAAAGCAGTCTGCCAGACTGTTCTTTCCAGGAGAATCCCTTGTGGGGACAGTTGTTTCACCATGACTTAAGCTTGCTTTAGTTGCTTTTTTTTTTTTCCCAGGAAGCTCTTCGCAAAATCTCTTAGATGAGATTTTTTAAAACAGACCTGACAGAAGAGTCATGTTTTAGGGTGAAAAACACAACATTCACAGTCTGAATGAACGAACCTTTATATGCTAAAGGATGTATTGAAGTACACACACAAACTTAGTGGCGTCAGGTCCACTGATTTTGGTGTTCATTTACCTGGAGTCCCTTTAGGCCACTCTTGGTGCTGTGACAGCTCCTACGGCATCTGAGCACACCAAAAACACCTGAAGGGCTTTATAAACCCAAGAGCCAGGTTTTGTTAGGACAGAAACTAGAACAAAAAATATTTTCAATGAAAGAAAACTGGAAATGAGGCAGGGCAGAAAGAGAAGCCCTTCTTATGTCCCTGTGCTTTCCGTGTGTTTGCAGGTAGGACCTTTACCTTTTTTCTTTATCCAGCATCTCAGGGTCTTTCTGACTGCAAACTCTCCCTGTGGTTTCCCTTCAGCAACGAGGGACCTCTCAGTCCTTTGTCCCCAAGGGCAGCTCTGTGCTCCCACCACGCTCTTCCCGGCAGGCTCCTGGTCGCTGGTGAAGCCCCCTCTCTTGCTGTCCCTTTGCTCTCCCTCTGCACCTGAAGCTCTTCTGACTGAGCATGTTCACAGACTCTGGGGAAGGCACAGTCCTCCCCTTCCCACCTGCCACACTGGCACAGTGTGCAGAAGCCAGGAAAGATAAGCCCTTTTATACCTGCTTCTTTTTAAAGGAATAAGCATTGTAACACAGCGCAAGCAAATAAAGCAGGTACTGCCCACCAAAGGTGTCATTAACAGGCATTAAAAAGGTTACAAAGCATATTTTCAGTCATTTCAAGCTCCTTAATACTGCCGGGACAGGGTTTAGAGTCCTCAGTAGGATCAAGCAGGACAAGCGCGTTCAGAAATGGACTCTAGGCAATGTGAATGCTCTTCAACTAGGTAAGGTCATTATCTTCAAGGGAGACTCTCAAAATTAGAATCTTCCTCCCCCAGATAAATCCTTCTGTCTTCCAAAGTGACAGTTATTTCTTCTTCTGTCCTAGTGGGTTAACACGTATTATCATCCCTTTTGTGTATATCCCTCACTGATTTTTCTCTTTAAGTCATCGAGAAACACATCAAAACTGCCATTGTTTCCGTTACGTAATTTGCTTGAAGTCTGCTTCTTGTTTTCCTCCTACAGAAGAGTATGTGGGCTGCAAGAATTGTCTCTTTTTCTCCATATGTCATCAGTGGATCTAATAAAAGTAAGATCCCCTGCTCTAATGAAATATTTAAACTCTGGTCTAATAAAAGATACCACCTCCTCCTCCTAAGCTGCCTTGGTAGTTAAAGTGGTTTTGCAGGTTGTCCGAAATGGGCAGTGGTGTGTAGCAGGAGCCACCATGCAACATAAATCCACGTACAGCTGCTTAACGCTAGATTCAGAAGATGTGGTTCCCCACTTTGCCGAGCAAACATGACAAGAGTAATAAGGAATTTCAAATGCTTCCCATCAGTTTATTAATTAGGCTAACAAGAAATGTTCGGTTAATCCCTGAGGTTATTCTTCACTCTTTTGGGCACCTGCAGGTCTCCCTTAAACGTCATTCTCAGTGTGCTGATTGTGTTGGGAGATGGTACCTCATCCCAGGACTCAGCTGGAGACCTCTCAACCTTGTTCGCTATGCGTGGTTGTATGAGGGAGCATTTGCCTGGCTCTCTGGCTTGCAAGGCAAGGGACATGGATGCTACATGAGGTCATATGGAGGGGAAACAGGTTGGAGCAGAGGACAAGGCTTTGGTGAAGTGCCTTTGAAGACAGTGCCATCAGCTATGTCACTACTGCTCTGTGTCCCTGGCCCCAGGCACAGCTGGCCAGAAGACCACAGATAAGATAAGGTGCTTAAGTCCCTGAGATACAGAGAGGACATGGCATTGAACTCCAAATGTGTGTGTCCATGTCCAGGGGAGAAAACCAGCTTGCTGCACCCAACTCCCAGTGCGTCTTGCCGTGACTGCAGCTGTCTCAGCCTGCAGCGATTGCTCCCATTCTGACAGCTCTGCCGGCAAAATGGCTGTTTCTACATCCTCTGTTTCCCTCCTTTGGGATTTTGGAGAACCTTCTTCAGCAGTTTTTACTTCTCTAGAGTGCGGCTTTCATGCAAGCATAGATCTGCCTCTCATCATGACACTGCTGTTAACTATAGTGTTTCCCATTCTTTCAAAAAAACTTTTCACTCACTTTCATGAGTGAAAGCAGCTTCTTAGGCCCTAATTCCAAACAGGATTTTCATTTTGCTTTCTCCATATATATCATCAGGTCTACAACACTGTTTCAGACAAGACGGTCATCTGGGAACACAGTGTTGGCAGGTGATAACCCATGCTCCATTGCAGTCTGCCCATACGCAACAGTGGTAAACGGAGAACTGCTCTGACAACTTGTTTCAATAGCAGATTTGATTATATTAGAACATCAGAATAATTATACCAGGACAGATGAAAAGTCTGTTTGTTCTGGCATCTGTCTCTAGCAGTGCCTATTAGTAGATGCTTAGCAAAAGGGTGTAAGGAACCCATCCAGGATAGAGGACACCTTCTCTGAAAACACCCTCCAGTCTTCCTGGCAGTCGACAGCCTTGGGACTGTCTAGTCTGGAATTGTCATCCAGATTATTTAAATATGATACCCTCATCCTCTTTTTTTACCCTGTTTATAGTTTTGGCTTCCTCAGTATCCTGTGGCAATTAATTCCATATTTTAACTATGTACTATGTGAAAAAGTATTTTATTTTGTCTATTTTTAAACCAATTGGCTTATGTGAGGTGCCTCTTTGTTTCTGCGTTGTGACAAATAGGGAATAATTACTGTCTGTTCACCATTCCAGGCTCGGGGATCTAAGTCCATTTAGTGTCTTCCTTTATTGAAACTTCTGTGTCTTTGCTCATCCTTGCTGTCCATCCCTGTACCTTTCCTAGCTCACTATATCCTTTCTGAGATGGAATGGGCAGAAATACATGTTAAACTGGAGGTGTGGGCAGAAAATGGATTTAGATGATGTTTTGCTGTCCCTTCTCCACTCCTTTCCTAGCAATTCCAACATTTTGTTTCCTTTTCTCAAAGGCTGAATGCTAGGCTGATGCTCTCAAATGACTCAGGATACAAGTGCTAACAGCTAATTTAGAGCCTTCATCTTCTTGTGTATATATGTGAAGCCCTCTAGACTTTCAAAGTAAAATATTTAGTATTGATTTATCTGGCACTTGGTCAAGTCATTCCCAAGCCTATTCTACTTAATATTCCTTTTGAACCGATGTCCAGCACCCATAAGGAAAGGCTCCAAGATGGAACTTGACTTAAACTGATGTAAATTGCCAATTGCCAGTTGCTTCCCGCCTGGTTTCTTTACACCTTGAGCATTGATCAGACTCAGCAACACACTGGGAGACTTCCTGCATCTGCTATGTTTGGAAAAGTAAAACGTTATTGGGGGTGGAGGGTTGCCATTAGCAGTTTGATCCTCAAACCATTTTTTGTCTGCTGCATTTTAATTCTACATTTAATTTATCAGGAAACATATTTATTTGCATTTTTCTATTTGGAGATAAATTTCTGTTTTCTGAAAGGTAGGTTATTACTTTGAATATCCGTCATCACTCTGCTATTTAACTGCGCTGACTTGTTCTGGAGGCCCTTTGTGGAGCTTTTTTATTTTAATTATGTTTAATTCAACATTTGTTTAATTTGAATTATTTTACATAGATTTCAGTAAATTGGATGGGATTCAAATGAAGATTAAGGCATAGAATTTGATTGTCCTCCTGTAGGTGTTTATGTGTGAGCTCTGTGTCTGAGCTTTGCATATGATCAAGGGGCAGGCATATACTCTGTACCGTCAGTGGAGTCTAAGGGCATTTCAGCTGATCTTCATAAATACAGGTAGGTAGTAGCCGGTCAGATGAGTCGAATTTTAGGCCTCTCTGACTGAATAGATTAGGTCTCCATTGACTAGAATGAGAGCTTAGATGTCTCGTTCACATGTAATTGCCTAAAATAAAGTGTCCTAGTCTTTAACTGAGTATGACCTTTATTGGATAATTACATATTATTGCAGGTTGCTATTTGTTCTAATGTTATTTTATTTTAAAATTAATTTACTCCACTTTAATGTTAATTTTAAATTAAAAAATCTGAATCAAAAACAAGCACAGCACAAACTCATTGACTTTTATCCAGCCTGATGCTCAGGACATGCTGTTAACCGTGAAACAACAACATGAGCAAGCTAACTTTTATTATAGCCATATTTATTTATTATCACCCAGGGAGTTTAAACAGTTATTCTTTCTTTAATAATTTACAGTTGAAAGACACAATCAAAATTCAATTGATGCCAAGAGAAAACTTTTCCTTGGCTTTAAAGAGCTTTTGATGAAGCAGCCGTTAGAGTACAGACACTACCACCAACAGAAATGGTTGAAGTAGGTGAGATCAGCAGTGTGAGCAAGGAGGATTTAAGGCTTTCCAGCACTCCAAGCAGATCAACCAAAAAACCTCTCTTCACCCTAGCCAGCAATATAACGTGGTATAGAAAATCAAATTCCTTGATATGTCTAAAGACTTCATGTAAGCCCCAAGCTGTTTCACTTGTACGGTAATTTTGCCAAAAGGCTGCAGTGTGCATACAAATGTAAGTACTGGGCTTTCAATTTCCAAAGGTTTTGCCTGTAATCAGAAATCAACTTCACTAAGAAAAAGGTGCTAAAGATCCTTCTTTTCCTAATTCTGATTGTGTATCTAAATCTCCCATCCAGCAGATATTGCATGTTTGTTTACCAGTTGAAAGTATCTACCAATATCAATGAACTTTTAAATAATGTAGGATTTTGGAAGTGAATTGTTACTGCTGAAAGTTCTGAGAGCAATCTAGGATGTTAGAGAAGATCAGAAGGAAACAAAATAATAATTAATGGTGCCAGAAACATTCTTTAAAATGAAAGGTTTGACAGGCTCAATGGATCCTGCTCGAAAAGTGTTAACTACTTGGATTAGTCTTTAAACACCTATGAAAGAAAGAGGTTTTTGATATTGGCAGACTCTTTGAACTAGAGAATTAAAAAGGCTAAGAAAACTCAGCGCTGGAGAGTTTTAGTTACAAGAATGCAGCTTGAAATAGGTGGGGTTGTAAGTTTTTACAATGTGGGTGCTTTACTGTGGCAGCCAAGGGATACAGTAGAGAATCTGTCACTCCTTAAGTTCTTTAAATCCAGGTTGGCTATATTGTTTGAACTGTCGTGTATTTCAGTCATATAATATTGGGCTCAGAGAAGGAAACTTCTGTTTTGCCAGAGGTCAGGCAGGCACCTGTATTGCTCCCTTCTGATCCATAGTAAGTCTACAAATTTTGCTCTGATTTATATTCAACTTTATGCACTTCTGAACCAAGGTATACGGATAAGAAAAAGGAACAGGCCGTCTCGCCTGACCTCTCAGTGTTAGTGAAGTCCTGTTGGGGCTCCCATTAAATGCATTAGCAAGAAAGTAATGTAAAATCCTTGTGTGTTCCAGTATGGGCCCATATTCACAATATTTGCTCTGGGAAAACGATTTACTTTTGTGACCGACGAAGAAGGGGCTGAAGCATTTTTTACATCTGAAGACTTAAATTTTGAGCAGGCAGTACAACAAGCTGTCCAGAATGCAGGTAAATGAGATCTCTCTCTTATTTAATGAAAATCAAATCTAGTTACCCAGAAATATTAAAGGCCCCATCCAAAGCACATGGCTTTTTGATCATGCCTTAAATGCCTGTCTTAGCCTATGACCATGCTACAAATTTAAGGGGAAATGCAATTCATCATATATCTCTCTGTGGCCCAGACCATTAAGCCAGCAAAGTGATTTGGAGTCAGTCAGAAGTGATGAAAGGTTTTTGAACCAGGGGCTTTTATTACTTCTGTCATCAAGCAACCCCAGTTAGAGATCAGGGCCCTTTTTGCAGCTAGACACTCTGCTTATGTGTACAAGGTCTGGAGTATGTTGTCCTGTCACTTGATTAGAAAATTAGCTTGCAGTAATAGTTAGTTGTTACCTTCTAGGATAACTTTGATCAGAGCGTGATGTGGTATACCTCCCATCCCCAGTGATATATCATTACCATTGGTCCTTATGTCCATATGCAATTGCAATGACAGGAATTACTTGAAGTAGCTTGACAATTTGGGGCTGTGAAATGAGAGATAAACAAGTTGCAGGGAGATTAAATTGCAGAATCACGGAATCACTGAGGTTGGAAGGCACCTCTGGAGACCATCCATTGCGAATCCCCTGCTCAAAGCAGGGTCAACTAGAGCAGGTTGCTGAGGTCATTGTCCAGTTGGGTTTTGAATAGCTCCAAGGATGGAGACTCCACAACCTCTCTGGGCAACCTATTCCAGTGTTCAACTACCTTCACAGTAAAAAAAATCAACCAACCAAAAAAATCCCTTAAGTTTAAGTGGAATTGCCTGTGTTTCAATTTGTGTCCGTTGCCTCTTGTCCTGTTACTGGGCACCAGTGGGAAAAGTCTGGCTCCATCTTCCTTACTTTTCCCCATCAGGTATTTGTACATATTGACAAGATCCTCCCTGAGCCTTCTCTTCCCCAGGCTACATCCCAGCTCTCTCAGCCTGTCCACATATGCCAGCATCAAGACCAAAGCTATTTTTTCTTACTGTCATTTATTTTTCATTTTGGTTTCAGTTCTTTTCTCTGTAGAATGCATGAGCGTTTCTGTACATCCACAATAAAGTTAAGGGAAAAATCATGTGACTGTTGGTTCCCACAGTGAAGCTTTGTGAGGCAGAAAGATGCTCCACAGACTGTTGTTCGCAGCAAAGGGGCTCACCAAAATCTTTACAGGGTCAAAAGGAAGGAATTTCACTCTAGAAATATGAGGCTTAAGGCACTTAAACTGGGGTCACAGCTATATGTAAAAGATTTTCACTGTATCATTCTACGAAAATCTACCTTGACTACTTTCCAATTTCTGTTTCTTCTTGTATTTAAAGCTTCTGTTCCCGCAGAAGCCTTTTATCAGAATCACGGTAACCTGTACACCATGATGAAGGGGAAAATGGGTCCTTCTAACCTGCACATGTTCACGGACACTCTGTGTAAGGAACTACACGAGCACATGGGACAGCTGGGCAATGAGGGAACAGGCGACCTCAATGACCTGGTAAGGTAAGGGAATTTTGCAACACATCTAATGCACAGGTGTCCTATGAGGGAGTAGAGACAGTAGCATAAACCTGTGTCTCAGGAGCTCAGGCCCTCAGGTATTAGAAAAACTATGTCGGGATACCAATGACCGCTTCATGGTGTCGGGTGGTTTACAGAGCTGACAAGGTTTCATCCCAAAACACCCAAAGGTGTTTCTCCCAACCAGGAGAAACATCTGAGTTGCATATTTTGAAGAAAAAAGAAAAGGCAGCATCTTCGAGGAAATACTATTTCCCAAAACACTGGGTGAAAGCTTCACATGTTTATAAAGGAACTTCTGAACAGACAAAACTATTTGACCTTCAAAAGGATGAAAAATTCCCCGTAACATCCAGGGGATGCTATGGGCTAGTCCTGGCCCTGTTAAAATAAGATCTTTGCCTCTACTTCTTGCTGCCTGAACTTCATCCTCCATGTGAAAAAAACCCATAATTGGCAGTCTCACGTGGCAGCAACAGAGCTTTTAACCCCTGCTCCTTTCTGATCGTTATGGATAACACCTGTGTCTTTCCTGTCCATCAGAACTACGACTTAAACATTGCCTTTGGCTTGGCCTTATCTCTAAGATCTCACATCCAAGTTGTCTTTTGCTGAGTTTTTCTACTTAATACATCTAAGATACAGCTTTTCACTGCAACCAAAGCACTGGGCACTCATCATCTCAATTAGTGCAGTATGGATTATCTAGGCAAAAAGGTAGGGAAACAGGTCTTTGAGCACTCAGTCCCACTGATCTCAAGAGTGGATGCATACCCATGCATCCTGTGGCGTTCCCCTACCACTCCTCTGAGATCAACATCTCATCTGCTTCTGCACTGACATCCTTTTCTCTGGCTGCAACAAACGCAACCCTCCTCTGCGCGTGTCCTTTCAGAGCTCACCAGCAAGGGCATTTTCGGGGTCTGTTGTTTTGGCTGTGCTCCCCTTTCTTTTCTTCTCCTGACTGTCTCTCCATTCTCAATTAACCTGGGCAAGCGTGTTCACTTTCAAGGTCTTTCGTAGCCCACCTCTTCAATCTCTTTGCACTTTCTAGTTCAGGATCAAAGGCAGACACCTGCTTCCCATCAGCTTTCTCCTGTGCTCCTTCTTTGTTACGTATTTGCAGAGGTACCTCACTAGCCTCTGCAAGTTCTGCTCTCCTGTGATGCCTTATGAAAAAACAGACAATTAGCACTGACTATCGTGCTAATATTGTCTCACATTTTCTTGTTATCACCCCATTTGAATCTGTCTGTGGTCTTTTACCTAGTGTCAAGTTTTTGAGGGCAGGGACGGACCTCTTGCTCTGTGCTGTACCGGCACCAGCACAGATCATGGGTTAAGACAGGGTTACTGCAGCCATGAGTGTGCAAATAATACATGGGGCATCACTCCACGCTGCACACTTGATGCAGCCATGGGAAAAAGGGAATTCTTCCCAATGGCATGACTGTCAGCATCCTCTGGCAATCTTAGAAATGAAGCTGACAAATCTGAATCAGATGGTATTTGTCTAAAATTTAAAACACCAGTCACAGCCTAGTTTATAAACTGCCGGATCCATAAGAGTAATCCACAGTAAATCTGGTTTGAGTATGATCTGTTCTTAGCGTTTTGCTAAACAAGGAAAAGTAAAAGAGTTGGAATACAATGCCCTGAATAATTGTTATTTAGTTGCCTTAAGGTTAAATCTGTAAAGCCAGCAGGTGGCTCCATTTTCCTTATGATCTTTCAAGAAAGCGAAACCACTATTGCTTGTAATACCCATTTAGCAGTAGCTGGAACCCAGCAAAGACTGTGGTTGCAGAAAGGGTTATGTGACGTCCAGAAAGTCCAGTTGGGTTAACCTGAAATAAGAGAGAGAGTTAATGTGGAGAATGGGGCCTCGGTGCACAAGGCTGACCAAAGAGACCTCAGCGCTCTGCCTCTGCTCATATGAACAAATGTTAACTGGTGAAATTCAGCCACGTGCAGAGCACTAGCCTGAGGTCTGTGTCTCCCAGCCTCTGCTGCGAGTGAAGTATGAGCCCTGTGCCCCAGCCCTGCCATACAACAATGGGGCATAAGTCCCACAGCTACTTATCTTGGCAATTCAGCACACTGCATCCTGGCCTAAAATTACTGCAAGAGCTTCCCTGTGGCCTGTCAGTCATGGTGGTCTTGTGCTCGCAGGCGTATGATGTATCCAGCAGTGGTGAATACTTTGTTTGGAAAAGGTGTCTGTCCAACAAGCCGGAGTGAAATGAAGGAGTTTGAAGAACATTTTCAAAAGTATGATGAGGACTTCGAGTACGCCTCTCAGATGCCCGAGTGCTTCCTGAGGTAATTCCTGAGCAGAGACGATGCACATGGTGAACCAATTAGGGGCATTTTGCTTGCTGTAATTATCAGCTACAAGCAGCCTTCCCGTGGAGGTGATGTGCTGGCTTTAGCTATGGTGTACCCTCATGTCAGGCAAGCTTTCAGCTAGGTACCTCCAAAAAGATCTGACCTAGTCTCATCTGCTTTTACTGGCATAAAACTGAAGTAACCTTGCTTAGGTGGGCAAGATGATAGGCATCAACATTAGGTTTTTCTCTAGGAGAAAGACTTCCATACTGAGCACAATCTTGGACCTGTCAGGGAGAAGGGACAAAGGCTTGAGCCTAAACGTGGCCCCCAAGCCAAGGGAGGCCCCAGTGAGGCTTCTCTGGGCTCTTGTTCACACCATAGCTATTTTCCCAGCAGTCTGATCCCAGGCTGTACTGGCGGTACTGTTGCAGAGCTGACCTTGGCCGCAGAGGCAGCCGAACCCCAAAGATCTTGCAGAGCCTGTTGGTTCTCTCAGGACCAGGACAGCACCTTGGACCTCGTGCTCTCTCTGAGCACCTCAGAACTGCCCTCAGAGAGAATTGGGGATGCTCTGAAAATGAGGCCTCTGTATTCTCAGTGGGGGATTATTCTTCAGAAGATTGGCCTAAACAACCTTTCCAAAGTCACACAGGAAAGCTAGTGGAATTGATATGAAAATCCAGGAATCTCAAGTCACAGGTGTCCTGGCTGCAAGATGAGACCTAGTCAAGGTGGAGGTCTCAGACCCTGAGCAACTGCTGTTCCTCATGTGAGTCAACACTGCTGTCAATCAGATTGACGTCTGATTGTTCATCAGCTAACTGCTGCCCAGGGACTTTTGCAAAGAAAAGAAGGAGTCCTTCTCACGGAAAAGGCAAAGTTGCTTTATCCTGCTTCACTTAAGTGCTTCTTGTTTGTTGCTTTTCTGTATAGGAACTGGTCTAAATCCAAAAAATGGCTTCTAAAATTATTTGAGAAAGTGGTGTCCGATGCTGAAAAGACCAACCCCTCGGAGACTACATCCAAGGTAAACATCCAAGGCTGTGAAATAGATGACTTTTTGCTGTATATTCTGGCTGAAGGAATGAAGGGCAGGAATTATCTCAGTACTGGAAGAAATAGGCCCAATGTATCTGTTTTTAATAGCTGTACCTTAATTGTTCAGTACTGCTGTCATCTGTGTTAGGTGAGACCTGTAATTTTTAGCCCCACTCCTCAATTTAGTTTGTTTCCTCCGGTTCTGAGAATTAACATCCTCCTCTGGAGAATTATAAGTCAAGGGATTGGAGCTATGACCCATTGCCAACCTCTGTTATCATAGTTTTAGTGAGCAGTTTAAAGAGTCAGGAGAATGGCCTCTTCAGTTGTTTTTCCGAGGGGACTAGGCTGTCAGATTTCAAAATCTTGCATGTACTATTTTTAAGCGCTGGTGTAGAGTGAGTAGATCCTCCAGCAGCCAGACTAGGAGAAAATAGCAGATTGCTGGATTGCTGGATTGCCAAGTACCTTAAATATTGATTGTGTCAAAGCTGTGATAAGTTGTCCCTCTGGTTATTCTCCTTAGCTATGGAAGCAGTTCTGTCAATACGACTGACAAATGTGAGAGCAGAATAGTTTGGGAATTTTGATCCACCAAATGATTAATAAGCAGATTATTAAACAAACCAACTTTTATTTAGACCTTAGAAGTTTTACATACCTCAGTATGCTTCCTAAAATAAACCTGAGGAAATTCAGCCTGAATAATGGAAAGAAACGAAAATCTGGGACAGTGGGAGGTAAGAAGGTGCAGAAACTAGGAGACATACTCAGTATCTTAGATTTTAGGGGACTTTGGAAAAGCAACAATCGCTTTTTCTTCAAGGTCAGCCTTTTCCCTCTGGAAATTAGACAAGAAGCTTTGCCTTGAATACATGATTGCCTTTTATTTAAGTAAATGCTGTAAACAAAAGCTGATGTGAGAACATTACACAGTTACTATAGTTTCAAAGACTATCAAGCTAATGAAGTCACTAACAAAGCAAAACTAAAGAGTTTGCCAATATATCAGACCATCTCTTCGTAACAATCACTTTTTTGCAGGCACAGACAGAACATTTTCTTCATTTCCATTCACTGAATATGTTCCATCTAGCTTTCAAGTTCTTCAAAGCACAGAAAATAGAGCAGGAATTTTAAAAAAGGATTTTTTTCTTTTTCCACATACAAGCAACAATGAGGAGTGAGAGCATGAGGTCCACTAAGAACCTTAAGAAAATGGAGAGCAGCACAAGTATTCAGCAGGGATTTACATGGTGCATGGACTGCTCTTGGCCCTCTGCCTGTGAGTGAGTCCCACTTTCTCTGAACAGCCTTGTCATCTCTCTTATTTTGTGACTGCAAACAACCCATAACTAACATTATTTCTCTTTGATAAACTACTGTTATATTATATCCTTGCATTTTAGTACACCCTAGCCTAAGCTATATTTTAATATTTTTTTGGAAATACGCATTATTATTTTTTTAATTTCTAACAGACCCTACTGCAACATGTCCTGGATAACTTACAGGGAAGACATCTGGCTCCCAATTATGGTCTGTTAATGCTCTGGGCTTCCCAAGCAAATGCTGTCCCTGTAAGTATGTCAGCTTTAGAAACAACTTATTTCTTGTTCAAAAGCCTGTATTTGGGAAGCAAAGACTTGGAACCAGAGGTCATACACACTGCATATATTCCAAAGACAGGATTATCACATCCACATATATCACTACAAGTAGACCCAGGTTGCAAGGTCACAGAAACAATGACAAGAAAAGCTTTTCTTGTATTTTTCCTAAGTTGTGCTGTCCCCTATCATAACAACACTTCAGGAACATGTATTTCTTATATATTCAGATCGGAGTACTAAGCTGTGAAAAGCATTTCGTTGTTGTTTTGAAGCACTGTGTCTGTGTTATAGTAGAGAATCTATTTTCAATTTTCTGACATTCCCAATTGTAAAAATATCAAAATCATAATATAGGGTGACTTTATCTGTGCAAATCTACTGAGAACAAAGAACTCCTTATTCCATGAGTAAATTTGGCTCTTTCACTTTAAAGGATCTACTGTACAAATGCCAATGCTGCTTCAGGGCAGGGAAGGCAACAGTTTGATTCTGCTGCCACTTGAGTTTTGACAATGTTAGAAATGGATTTGATGAATGAATGATACAGATATATGTATACTAACAAGCTCAATATATCTAACACAAATGAGGCTAACCAAAGACATTTATAGGAATTTCTCAAATGAAAAATCTATAGCGGCGAAAACATCCTTTATTTACCATGGCTACTAAGCTAATTCCAGCATAGGTATTCCTGTTACAAATGTGATTCTAAAAAAATGATAATACGTTATTTTATAGGCACCACTAATGGATATATCTTCATTTTTTGTAAGTCGAATATTGCTAGAATTCACCCTAAAGTAATTTTATCCATTTCATTGGGGTGTCTGTAGATTTACATGTTGGTGTAAGTGAGAGCCATAGCCTGCCGTCTGTTATCAGGATAACTGACATTCCTTCCATAACACTATCATTACTTACTTCTGTAATATTCAGCTGTAAATAGACGTACAGATATTTCGTTGTTTCTCAGAATAGTCACAAGCCACTGTTCCGATGACTGGAATTATGAAAAAGGACCTTTCACCTTCCAAAGGGGATTTTCACAAGTTAAACCCTTTTATCTGAAACAATGCAGTTATCCTTCCTCAACCCATAGACTGAAGGCACATTGTGCAACTGCTGTACAAGAAAAATAAGCTACCAGATTTGTTTTACAGAAGTAGATTTGCATCCACGTGGGACTATTTGTGTAATAACTGTAAGAGTTCTCATCGCTTATCCACACAGATGGCTCATGACCAGATCTGTGCGCAGACTAGGTCTCTTGCTAGCTGGCAAGAAATACTCCTGGCAATGCTGGGAGTCCTTCTGATTTCATTCTGCGTAAGAGGATTTTCTCCTTTCCTAAATTTCTTGATTTTCAACTTCATTGCATAATCAGTTAGCAAATTATTTCTAAAGGGGATACACTACCCTTTGTTTTGCTGCCCATTTCAGTATGAGTCACAGTGACAGCGCTCTGCAAATTTTTTAACCTCGTTTCTGTTAATATTGGTAGGATTTCACTACTTAATTTTTTCCATTCGGGCAGCTAAATCTAATCACGTAAAATGGCTCTAATTTAGGAATTCATTTTAACATCCAGTTGTTTGAAATTAGAGAGAGGCTTTTGTGTTTCAAAGCTCAAAGCAGAAGCTGTATAAGGCTCACTGAAGAGGAATGCGTAAGTACACAGCAGACGACCAGACCTAATCTCCGAGGATCTGAGCCCTCTACTCTTGTTATTGAGTGGTTATTTGCCTAATATTGCTATTGAATTCAACGGGGTGACTCCTCTGCAGGAAAAGAGCTTCACGTTCAGTCTTTGTTACTATAGCCTTCTCTCCTGGAGCCTTTGATTAGACACAAGGGCAAATGTTCTCAATAAATTTACACCCCCCAATAGGAAAAGGGTAACTGAGAGCAGTATGCATTTTGTAGAAGTGGTAGCTGTTAATATGTGAGACATGGCTTTTGCTTACCCGTAAGTTTTACCTTTTTTTTTTTCATTTAAAACTTGGATCTGATTTGCATACCATGTTATCATCCTGTGTCTTGGCCCGATTAAAGGAGGAAGTGGAATAAAAATGAGATGCATAATTCAGACTCTTTCTTTTTAAATTCCTTTATATGATATTATAGTTCTAGCAAATCAATAGAGGTCATCTGTTTTACAGTATTATCTTACATGTGGACGTATCCAGGAAGTACAGCTCTCTGTGTATCTTGACAACACCAGGCACATTCAAAAAAGTGCAAATGTTTTCACCTGCCTCAGTGATTGGCTACAGAGATACTTACAAGCTGTAATTCAGTTCTGCTTTCACGAGTTAAAGTACTTTCATCTCTGTTTAGATTGCATTTTGGACCCTTGCTTTCATCCTGTCCCGTCCTTCCATTTACAAGAAAATCATGGAAGACCTGGCTTCTGTTTTTGGCAAAGCAGGTAATAAACCAGATCACATCCTTTTGGAACCTAGAGATGTTTTCTTCCCTGTTGGCCCAGCACATGGCACACTTGGTCAATGGCCGGGAATTTTGAATGTTGCTGTTAAGGATACTACTCATAACACCCGGACAAGCTGTGAGTTCTTTACTCAGCATATGCTTATGACTTATTTTTATGCAAAACCACCTTTGATATTAGCAAAAGAAAGTAGAAAAAAAAAAGGATTCATGTGTCGCTTCATTCCACGCTTGTCACTTAGAGCTGGTTTTCTGTTAGCCAGTCTCATGCTTTTTTCACACATCTATGATGGAGTTAGATTAGGTCTTTCAGCTCAGCTGCTTTTCATGGTATGTTAACTTACTATGAAAACTCATCATGGTGAGTTGTAACCCACCAGAGTTACAACTATTCTGTGGAAAAACAGGCCAGGGACTGTTCTCTTTTCTTTCATTTGAAGCCAATTGAAGTCTAGCATGATTCACTCCCACATGACTAATCTCTCTTACCCTCAAAACTCAGTCATCTACTGGGAGCAGTCGTTCATATGCAGTTGCCTGAACCATGCTTAGACTTTCATGGAAGACTCCTAATTGACATGGGTCAAAACCATATCAGGAAACATGTCAATAATTAAACAGTGTAGATAATCACGAACCAGTGCTCAAGCTTTTCTCCTGGCTCGGTTCTATTTACTAGTGTCAATGTAGCCTGAGAGCCATGACCCCTTGTCTTGGTGCCTACTGTCCCTGATATTTCCCGGTAGTATCCTACCCAAGTACTAGAAAAGTCCAGGGGTTTGTAACTTCCAAGATGAGCTTTGTTTCACCTGGTCTGGCCAAGGCCATATCTACAGCTACTTAGCAGTTATTAAAATTATTGTCAAAGGCATTTCTTATCCAAGCTGGGCTTAAATTGTACAGATTTTGGTCCATGCATTGACTCAGAAATAGAAAATTTCTGAAGGAAGGCAAGGTCCCAAGTCTAGAGGTATTCTATCAGAACCTTTAAAACAAGATATGTCAGTGTGAATCAAAACAAGTGTGAAATCTAACTTTCACACTGAGCCTTTTTCCTCATGCTACAACAGGTAGAGATAAAATAGAAGTCTCTGAAGATGACCTTAAGAAGCTCCCTTTTATTAAATGGTGCACTTTGGAAGCCATACGGTTGAGGTCGCCAGGAGCAATCACCAAGAAAGTGGTAAATCCAATAAGAATTCAGGTGAGGTTTTGGGTTTTTTTTTCTTTTCCAAAAGGATGTTTTATGATTCTTCTGGAAAGAGCCCTCCCAGTAGATCTAGATAAAATTAAGTGAGCAGAGAGACTTGACAAGTCTCAAATATATCAGCTGTTTAGTTTTAACAGATTTATTCATCATTAATGTAATCATCATTAATTTAAAAGCAGTTTTGCTTCTCATACTCCCAGTCTTGCCTTTAGTTTTGATTAGAATTCGAATTTGAATTGAGTCGAATTGGAAGATACTGTGCTGAAGGTATATGAAAGAGGAATCAGAGACACAATAAATATAGTGGAAGGGACCGCAGTTTAGTAAGTGATAAAACTCCCTCCCTTCTGTTTGTCCTCTTCACTGCCGTTCAGAAGGAAAGTATTAGGAGCCCCGTAAATAAACATTTGGGAGAAAAACACTCTCTTTTCAGGAATCAGTATTCCTGCCCATTCAAGGAATGACCAAAACCCCTTGGAAGCCTACTGTCCTATGAACTTACTTGCATTTTGAAAGCCAGTGCTTAACAAAAGATCTAGAAAAAAATAACAGTACACGCAGTTCAATTGCATCAAAAAGCAAGAAAGCAGGAAAGATAGAAATAGTGCTTCTATTATTTTTGTACTTGAAAAACCAAAGTACAACAAAAATGGTCTTTCCACCATCACTACTGTTTAGGCTTCCTTTATGTAATAAAAGGCAACAGTAAGAATAGGCTTCAAACATTTAATGTGGCCACCATGGCTTTACCCCCTTCACTAACCCTCCATCAGGACCTTCTGCTGTTGAAAGAGAAGAACTAAGGAGGGAATGTTTTGTGAGTTGAACCAGGAGTTTTCTACTTCTCTTTAGAATCGTTTCTCCTTTTCAGAATTTCACCGTCCCTGCAGGTGACATGCTGATGTTGTCTCCGTATTGGTTGCACAGGAATCCAAAATATTTTCCTGACCCGGAAATGTTCAAGCCTGTGAGTTGCATTTTTTTCTCATTGTTGTTATTTTGCTGTCTTTTCTCCTTTGCACATGTTTTGCACCAAAAAGCATATGGTTGAGTTTGCTTAAAGTTAGGTATTTACCATCCTCTGAAGGAGGATGACCTCATATGCAGAGAAAATGATGGAAAAAGGAATAAGCAAGACTTTTAAGTTCGGTTATATGTTCTGGATTGTACATAGATTTATATAATAAAGTGATAAAACTTTATATCACTTTAATCTTGATTCAAAGCCCATTGTGGAAAGACCCCATGGACTTTACCGTTGAGCCAAGCTCCAAGTGCTCTCCTCTGCCTGACGTTTGTATATCTCATCTCCATGTATTTACCCAGGTTCATGGGTCCTTCCAGTCAGATGATTTCTGGTAGGTATTAGCTCTGCTAATTCAGTAGCTCATCTAGGGTTTCTTGCTTATTATTCCACTCCAGGTGGCTGTGTGGGCAGGCTTGTAACTGCTCTTTTTAGCACCATCCGCTATAGAATGGTTTGTCTTTTTTTAGAAATATATGAAGGAGTACTTAAAACAAAACTTCCCTTCTAGCAAACTCCTCACCAGTTTGAAATCCCTTGTAACAATTCTTGCCTGTTTGAAATGCCAGGCAGAAACTCTGGTGCAGCAACTTACTTCTCTGGTAACTTTATTGGTAAAAACCAAGCTGGTTTGTTGTTTAGAAATTCATCCTTCTTCCAGCAGAATAGGGCAGTCCCCCTTGGATACTGTCATTCCAAATTGTATTGCTTTGTTTTGTCACCTCTGAGATTCTTCTCTTGCTTTTATTGGATTTTGATGTTAATAGTTTTCCTCTTCAGAATGCTCTAACTAGTCTAAGCTGAAAGAGATCCAAAAAACCCCAAACAAAAGATTATGTCTTATTGAAGATGGATTCATCAGAAGACTAACCACAAGAAAGTTCACAGGGGTGTAACTTGAAGGCCTGGGCTCAGTTGCACTGAATTTCTGGAGGGTGGTATTGTTCGTCACCCAGCATTCAAGAGATTTACTTTTGTCAATACTAACCCACCCAAATTTTAGCCCCTACTGCCTTGTTCCACTTTTTATTCCTTTTTTCTTAAAGCAATTCAGGATGGAATAAGGAGCCTTCCTGGGTATAGGCAGGCTATTTTTAGTAGGGAATAGTGCATTTTCTCACTCACTGGCTTGCAGTTGGGAATAGGACTGTGGGTTCAGTGGGTTTTTGGTGCCCACCTCTGCTTCTCAACACTTTAACTTCACAGTCAGCTCTCAAGGAGGCTACATCCTCCTTTATCTGGACTCATTCATTTCTGTGTAATCCTTGCCTTTCTCTCATATGACAGCTGAAACACTGTGCATTTGTCTGTGCACAGTGTCTCAGAAATGGTTTGTAAGAAGGAAGAACGTAAGTTGTGTGCTGTAGTACTACTTTGGGGTTGAGAGAAGACACTGATCAAAGTCTGAACTTAAATTTTGCAGGTACTTATATTTGAAAGGAAAAGGTCACATTTTTACGGGCATTTCAACAGCTCAAGATACAGGATTTAGAAGTAAGGAGAGGGATAGGATGAATGCCTTCTTGCGGGTGATTTTGAAAACCTCTCCAGAACTTTGAGGCACCTAAGTGTCTTTAAAATGGGGAGCTCATTTCTTTCCCTGAGAGGGTGCTGATTTTTCAGTCCAGATTCTAACCATAACAGGTTGAATGCAAAAAAAAAGGCACCAGTGCGACTTTGTATTGAGGATTAGCTGTCCAAGGTCATTTTTAGCTTAGAGAAATAAAGTTAAGCTTTATTTATATAAGCCTGATTTGGAAAAAAAAAAAAGTTTCTTCCCACAGGATCGTTGGAAAGAGGCAAATTTAGAGAAGAATGCTTTCTTGGACAGCTTTGTGGCATTCGGAGGAGGGAAGCATCAGTGTCCAGGAAGGTCAGTGAAACAGCTGGGGTTTATTTATTCCCAAACCCTGCAAAGAACAGCTCTCTTGAACCAGGCTCCTCTTACACTTAGAGATAAAGTGTTTTCATTGTTTTGCTCTCTGTTAGTCCCCTAATGTTCAGTATTAATCTGGGCCTTGCCGAAACTGATTTGAAAGTGATTTCATTCCTGGAAAAGGCAAGTTAAGCCATGATATAAAAGCAGAATTTGAGACTAGCGTATCAAGAGATATACACTGGGACTTTTCTCCCCAGGGAGAAAAGTCAGCCTGGCTCTGCTGCTCCTGAGGCGCCTTTTCATCAAGGGAGAGTTGCTCCAGTTACAAGCATGCCAGTTTATACACACAGGCATTTAGGTTGCCATAAAACACTTATAAACTAATCCAAAGAACATTTCTTTGGTCTGAGAGTCTCTTGCCATCCTCCATGATGCCATTAACATTTCTGTTAATCATTAAAAGTCTTAACTGGTTCCTCTGTGTTTAAATCTCTTGTCTTTGCATTAAGGCCCACACAATAGTATGAAGGCTTAAATCTCAGATTGTGCCTTTCTTCTATCCTCCAGCAGTGCCAGCCTTGATGCTTCTTGCTGTTTTCTTTTGCTGTTTTCTTTGCTCTCCCTCTTCGTGGAACAAGTCTCAGGGAGCCAGCTGCTTTTTTTTTTTTTTTCTGTATTCAGACATCTCTGCGCTCAGTTATCTGCCTTCAAACCTGGTCTCCTCTAGGAACCAAATAACCAAGAATTCTTAAAACAAGTTAGTTTAACTCAGAAGTCCCATCTGGAGTGAGGAATCCAGAGGGTGTCACAGAGGATCTGTGTTCTTCTGCACCATATAGCAGGCTGGACATGAATGTCAGATACATTTTGTGAAGATATTACAGACAGCCACCAGGAGTAAAACTGCAAGGCCTGCCAGAGGAAAGTGCTTACTCACTGCTGTACCTCTGTGGCTTTTACCATATTCCTGTGCTAAATACAAGCACAGCCTCATTCCCAGCAAGGGCGACAGCAGAATTCACAAGAGACATCCATAGGTGCAGGACAAGCTGCAAAACAATATTACTGAAAGCTGTTTGTTTATATATACTGACCTATTTCTTTGTTCAGATTGTTCTCTGAACTCAGATAATAGCTGTAAAGTAAGTTTGTGATTAAAAAGAAAATGATAAATGTTTCTACACAGATAAAAGATGGAGACCCTTTCATTTGCTGACAGACAAAAAGTCCTTTCAAACCCTTTGGCAGGCCACATGGTAACACATGCCTTCATGTTTTTCCGCTGATAATGCTAAAAGGATAATCTAGTGGTCCTGGAAAAAAAAGGAAATTAAATGAAAGGATGTATCTAGATCCCAGGTTGCAGGTTTCCTTGGTATATCTGAGCCAAACAAGAATTTTTCAAGTTAAAGGTGAGTTTTCATTTAATTTGATACTGGCATTTTATAAATGACATTTTTAAATATTTCATTTTCTTCACAAATTGCAATAGGTCAACATGAAATAAAATGCTAATTTAATCAAACTGAAAGCTAGAAAATAACTTACTTGTTAAATATGCTAGCAAACTGACACGGGAAGAAGTCCCTCAAAGCCATTTCTGTGCCATTTTCTTTGTTACCTAGGGGAAAAGTTTGGTGGCAGTGAAGCAACTCATGTCACAAGACTTTTGTCTAACCAGATAACTATTGCCTGTGTGATGGGGCTAACCTTGCATGCATCTTGTCTGTTGTCTCCTATCTTATGCTGCCAGTATAAATCCTTTAGCAAAATGGCTATAATTTTATCCTCAGGCTCCATTTACTGCAGAATCTCAGTCCACAGCTGGGCTACTAGTTTGCATCACGGCACAAATACATAGTAATGCATTGTACACAACATTGGAGGGAGTATTTCCCTGTCAAACTCCTTCATCGCTAGGTAAAACAGAAAGGCATCAGTGACTGAGAGTTTTTAGAGGAAAACTGCTCTAGAAGTCAATCATGAATATGAGAAACAAGTGGGAACTCGGGGGCATTCAGCTGCAGGAGAGCTCATGGGTTCTGCTCACTGTGATGTGGTTTAGAGAGCAATGGCCTGGGACTCAGCAATCCTGCTTTCCTCTCCTGGTTCCTCCTGAGGTGGCCTGCTGGCCAGCCTTGGATGTAAATGATACTTGTTGTCCTTGTGTCTCAGTATCTCTGTTTGCAGAGCAGAATAACAACAGCAACCTGTTTGGTAAAGCACTTTGAGATTTAATGATGGGGAATGCTGCAATCAGTTTTCAGTTATCCAATGCAATGCTGTTTGGACAGATTGCAGATTAACCCCATCATACAGAGGTGCTACAGAGCTGTTGGAGCTGTTTAGCCCACGTCTAGCTTTAAAGGACAGCCCTCTATAACAGCAGGTCTTCCACTTGCAGGGCCACCTAGAGGCAATTTGACTGCCTCCACATGAAGCTCCAACCCATTACTTGGCCCCATTCATGTCACAGCTTGGTGTGCCCAAGCAAAGCCAGCGAGGGTGTCTCAGCAATGGCACCGCCATCACCCTAGGCAGAACTGTGCAAACAGTGGAGTGACTCCAAGGAGGCCACCTTTGTCCAGTGTTGCTGGCACTGAGTTAGGCTGGAGTCCTGCCTGAGCTCATTTCTGTCCAAATGTCTCTGTGCTGCAGGGTCCTGAGCTCAAGGTCACAAGGAGCTCCCTATCTCAAGGTAACTGCAATGTGAAATCACAGAGATAGTTGGGGTCTGAAGCTACGCCAAAACAAACAGGCATCCTCCTACTCTGGAGCACAGAGCAGCTCAGTGCGGAGGTCTGAATGGCTCTGCGGGAGTTAGCCTGGGTCTCGTGGGGCTTATTAGCTTCCTCTTCACACCTGCCAGGCCAAGTCCAGACTGACGCCATGTTAAATCGTGTGGTTTTCTCCGCAGTGAATTCCCCAATGACTATTTTATCCAAGTTCTCCAGCATCTCTCAGATAATGGAAAGTTAACTGTGTGGAAGAACAAGGTACTTTTACAATTTTGACGAGGTATTTAAGACATATGTCTGAATTCCACAAGTGAGTAATCCTATGACTCGACATAAGTATGAGCTAGTGCCTGAATGCAGAAAGTTCTTGTATATATCTACATTAAAAAACAAGAGCCTAGAGGACTTCACCTGCAGTCATCTGAAATCTTCTCCAGACTGACTTAGGGAAGAGCTTTCTGAGTATGTTATAGAAAAAAATCATACCCTCAGGTCTCATACTGCATTCTAATGCTGACGCATTAAATAATAACTCCCGCTGTCACAGCTACTCTGATGTCATCAGGCTCCCAGCTGTATTATATAACTTTATATAGCACAATTAGTCATATAGCTTTTTCTATATTTGACTTTCTTCTCACTCCTATGAAGTTATTTCAAGTCAGCAAGTGTTAGAGGATCATAACTGTGTACACTGTGGAAAAAACCATAATGATAAGAGTCAGTTTTAAAATAGGGTGTCAGAGGGATACAGTAGTTCTAAATTTTCACCGGAAAGAAGGGGCAGCCGTTACATTCGTGTTCTTCGCTGACTAATGAAGCAGAACAAAGCCACAGCATATTTTCCTACTGAAGATAAACTTTCAGGCAGAACTGAAGCATGGAATGTAAAATGTGCAAAAGACATCTTGTTTCTTGTCTGATAATAGCACACGCGTGATGGTCATGCTGGACATCCACCGTTTTTCTCCCTTTCCTTGCAGGTGGTTTGCTATCATGGAAATCCAGTTGTTTACTGTGTTATTCCTATATAAATATGAATTTGTTCTTTTGGATTCAGTACCAAAGGAGGTAAATGATCTGTGCATTTATTTAACATTCCATATCTTTCAGTCCTTCATTCATCATGCTCAGCTAAACAACCATGCTCAACTGTGGTTATGTATAATGAAGCAAAATGCTGCAAGGAGTGTTATAAAACATATAATGAATAATTCTGTCATCATTTCTACTCAGAAAATCCAGAGTAACTCCAGTGATGTAAAATGGGCTGCTCCATCTATACAAGAATGCACCAAAGAGACCATTTTGTCTCATCATTGCCTAAATATTATAAGAGGCTTGTAATTACTTTCTGCCACTCACAAAAGCAATGAATATGGGACTGGATTAATAATACTTTTAAGCTGACATGAAATCAGAGGCAGCGGTCTCAAAACACGGCTACCAGTGCCCTTACACTGCTTATTCAGGGATGGAAGAGAAGTTGATTAGGATAAGCAACTGTGACTCAGAGAGGTTTGGCACGTAAGGGAGACTGACACGGTCTCCACTGTGCTTCCTCTCTTTGCAGTAATTTCGTACCCCTTTTGCACTGTGTCCTTTCTGCTTTCCAGAAAGCGTTGTTCCTCACAAACACGAGCACTGCAAAATGAACACGTCTGCATGTCACGACCTAAACATGACATGCATGCTCTAGAGCTTAACCACCAAGGAGAAGAGGGAGATGTTTACAGTGACATGGGCTTTAATGAGTTGTTCTTTAGGTGGGAAGTTGAAAGTTGGGAGAACTCAATTCCTTTGCTCTCCTGAAAGAACTTGAGAAGTTTATCTCAAGTAGTGGTAGAAAGTCCACCCAGAATAGGGATGAAGGTTACCTCTTCCTGACAGATGATGTGCTACCACGCCAGCTCTCACTGGAGTTGATTGTAACTTGGGTCTGCATCCACAGGAAATTGTGCGAGTGAAGACCAGTCAAAACCATCAGAGTTTCTTAAGATCCCGTACAGCATCCTCTGTCAGAGCAAGTGGAAGAAAAAGCGAACACAAAGGCTCTGTTCAATGGCTTCACTGGAGCTAAGAAATACTCTCAGTATTGGGTCTTGAGTCTCTTAGACCAAAGCTCTGAGAAACTGTATTTATAACCTTAAGAGTAAGAGCAAGATGATAATTCTGTTAACTAACTAACATTAAATGTTTCTACTGGTCTTCTGTTTTTTACAGAGCCCTTTACATTTAGTGGGGACACAGCAACCCATGGCACCGTTCCGGGTCCTGTATAAGTACCGGGAATGAAAGCTGACCAGCACTGACTTGCCTTCCTTTGCCGGTCACCGTCAGATGAACGGGCCGCTGAGCTGCTTCCCTTTGGAATAACGTACATGTTCAAATCTATTATCATAGTTAAGAACTGTTAAGTTGTCAAGAAAGGTCTTAACTTCAAGTGCCGTACATACTCTGTGTTGTGGTATGCCATGCCGGTGTAGTGGTACCTGTGTTTCTTATCCGGACTGCCTATGTCCCAGTATTTAAAAGTCAAACTGTCTTGCTGTGTTTGTAACTTGTGGGCCAAATTATCTGCAGCCTTTGCAGGTCTAACTGGTATACTAAATGCACCAACCAGCCATTCAGGACAAAAATCTGCTGTGCTTGGAAATCGTTTATGGAAGTTGTGTTAGAACCCTTGGAAAAGCAGGTCCCTTGGGCCAAGTCCCTTCGTACCAAGGCCAAAGTTCTGCCTTGTGGTATGAAACTGGAGCGGTAACACCATATGGCTCCCTGGGGCCAGTGTGCACAAAATATAGGACAGTGCTGAGTAGAGACCTCTGGATCTCAGTCACTATAAACTAGCACCATTTATAGTATATGAAATCTGACAGCAGTTAAGGTGTTGGTATCCGAACTTATTTGACGGCTTCCTTGAACAACTTCCTATACTATCATTGTATAGCTAGGGGCAGATCTGGCCTGCTCTGCACGCAGTGGGGGCCAACTGATCACAAATGAAATGCATTTGTAGCTGAAGAATGGCCAACGTGGGAAACAGGTGGGCTCTTGTCCCATTGGAGCACCTGAAATTTCCACTGGTCTTCATTCGCTCCACAGGATTCAGAATTGCTCCTTGCATGAATATGCAGTGAAAGGTTGATCATGGTCTTTGGCTTCTAATGAATGGTGATAGCAAGAAAAGCCATTGTTATTTCATGAATTGTTTGTTGAAGTTCTAGAATATTTTTGCTTTTCTTCTAACATGACTTACAGAACAACTTGCACAAATCTAAAAATATGAAATCCTATAAAAAGTGTCCAGTAAAAGTTGTTCAAGGAAGCTGTCAAATAAGTTCAGACACCAACACCTTAACTGCTGTCAGATTTCATATACTATAATAGCTGGCATATATTTTTAGTCTTTTAAGTAAAGATTACTCATCATTTTAGAAGTATTTTCAAGAACAACACATGGACTTTTAACAGCAGTAAAAATGATGGCAGTAAGATCCATAGGAAAATAATAAAGTGTTTAATGCATAAATTGGTTGGCTTACAGTCATGGATATGACAGTTTTACAAACTTTAATGTTTTATATGGCTGGACAAGGATTCGTCCAACTTCTAATTTAGCCCATCACGGTTAACTTGCCAAGAGTTCCACTCTTAACTGCTGTTTGAGAATCTCTTCTGTAACTGAAAACTATTCTCTTTTTTTCATGTGTGGTCATTACCCAAAAGCATATATTTTTATGTTAGAATTTGGAAATGTCCGCAATATCTAGTCAGATAGCTTGTAAAGCTGTGAAGATAAAAAATTATTTTCCAATAGGCATTTCTTTTTAATCTTGTGTTTAGTTTGTTTGTTTCTCCCCCCCCCCCACCCCCCCCAAGAGACGTAACTCGAGCAAAATTCTGAAATGGCAAGCTTGACCGTAAAAGTACAAGGTCCCTAGAAGGAACTATAACCTAAAGGGCAGCATCAGTTTGGTTAGAATGAATAAAAGGCGTTTGAAACCAGCTAAACCTGTGAATGCTTGCTAACGCACATGGGTTCTAATCTGTCTTAAAAACAGGCACAGTTCTGGTGTAGCTTCTGCATATTGCTTACTTCGTTGAACTTGCTACAATGATGTCTTGTGCCCGAGGAGCACTACAGTATGCTTCTTTCCACGTCCTATAAGAACGACCTGTGGGCAAGGTGTGATAAAAGTCTCATCCCCACACGCCCAGAGGAGCGCAGAAGAAAAGTAGCAGGTGGGGGAACACACCCTCTGTGGCCCCTCCCAAAGCTGTCCCTGGAGAGCCCTCCATCCCGCTGCCCAGGGTAACACCCAGCAAGGTGTCTACAGCCAGAAAACCAAGGCTTTTTACAGCCACAAAGGTGCCAAACAAGCAGTTGAAGAAAAGTGCTTTTGAGACTATCTCCGTGGAGTTCCATCACTACGTTGAGTGGCCTGCAACAGCTGTCAGCTCCATGCACTTCCCATACTTTCCTAGGTGGAAAGAAGTAGGTGAGGTGAATTAGTAAAGTAATGTGGTAGTCAAGTGATAAAGCTAAATGGGCTCTTCTACCTGGAAGAGATTCAGAAGCTTCTGGGGAAGGGACGGAAAGCGCTTTATCACTGAGATAAGGTTAAAGGGATATTAAAGGGTCATCACAATACCCTACTCCGGAGTAGAATAACAGTATCTAAATCATTCTTCTTCAAATGTTTGCCCAAACAGCACTGCAGTACTGATGTTCCATGGATGAGTTGTTCTTTTACCCGACTCTCCCTATGATTAGAAAGCTCTTCGGGTCAACAGTAAAAGTCCCTTATTACCACATATGTTTGTTCCTCCTTGTCCTCTCCTAAATGGACATGGGAAAGAGCTTATCTTTTCCTTCCTCTCATCCTTTAACATGTAGAAACCTGGTTGCTAATGAAGAAGAGTGCTTTAACGATTGCACAGCCCCACAGAGGCAGGTTGTGAACTCCAGTAAATGCAGCAAATAATTTTTTCTTTGGGATATGCAGAGACTGCACATGTTAGCTGACCCCAGAAAGGAAACATCAGTCACATCTGTAAGTGCTGTTTATTGTTTCTTCTTCTCTGTAAGAATGCTTTGTTAGCACCTTTTTTGCGATGATATCAAGCACTTCAACTGGCTTCAGTAGGAGCTCTTGGGATCAGGGCATTATAGACTTGCACAAAGCCTGTCGCAGTCACGGGAAAGGTTGTGCTGACTTCAATGAACTTTAGACCTGGTGCTTGCTCTATTGCTGTGGGGAGAAATCTTATATGATAAATTCTTCTCCCTGTAATAGCACACAAATTCATCCGACTCTGGTAAATGTGCACCTCTATAATTGAAGGCACAAGGGCATATGAAGCAGAAGATTTTTAAACCCACAGTGAAAAAAAATATATATATTTTGACCTGTCTTTTTACTTCTACATGCTGTATGAAATACGGATATTAAAGAGAATGCCACGGGGCAACCCTCAAAACTATCTTAGAAAACGTAGCTATTCCTCCTCCAAACACGTCACAGGCCAGATCCACCTGAGCAACACTCAACAGTCTGGGCTGGCCAGGACTATCTGATGGTACTTGTTTATATTAGGGCAAGCAGCTTCTTTTCTGAAACAATGAAACAAATGATTAGAGTCTCTTAAAGACAGAAAGGAAATCTAGAGTTATGAGAAATGCCCTATAAAACTTCTTTTTTTAGTTGAATTTCCTTTAATAATTGTTGGACTTTGTTGTATAACAGAGAAGAGTTTCAGGAAAAAGATGAAAACTATCACATTGCAGCAAAATATTTTTGATGTTTTTGAGGAAGGTACAAACATTTTCATTGAAATCATGTATTTCTTATGAAAATACAACATCCGACAGAAAACTCATCAAACCATGTTTTGAATTGTTGACCTACTGCAAGTGAATCCTCTCCAGTCAGCGTGGTGAAAAGATAACCCTCCATATCAGCCATCACCTCCCAGAATAATCTTGACTTCTTTTATGTCTTCCCTCTAATGACCCTCCCTGAAGGTCCCTCTCATCTGTGCTTAGCAGTCAAGTATCTCAAGTAGTCTCTTTCTTTAAACCAGTGATGGCATTGGCATTCAGTATCTTTTCTGTGCAGCTGATTGTCACAGAAACCAGAAGTTTAGGCTTAGCACATATATATCTGGAAAATAGATGTCCGAGGACTAAAAGATATGGCTGTAGCCATTGAAAGGTAAGCTAAAAATAATGACTTCCTGTAGAAAACAAACAAATGAATTTGAAGGCCCTAGTACTGTGCTATGCTTAAGCACTGTGCCAAGCAAAACTCGACTTAGGCATGTGTTTTGTGTTAAGCAAACACTTCACTGATTTGCACAGTCAGAATGGATTTCAATTTAAGCACAGCTTAAGTGCTTTGCTGAATCAGGGTCCAAATGCCTTAGTTGCTAACCAGTTGTTTGCAGTTAGTCTTGGCATCTGTGCTGTAATTTACAGGCATACAAGGTTAGCGGAAACACTGAGGTAGCTTTGTTCATTTTAGGTGAAACTGGCAAAAATTAAGTGCTTTTAGGAAGAACGCTTTTTAAATAGTCACATTTATAGCATAAAACTGCTTGGCTTTATTGGCAGCAAGCATCTTTCCCACTTATTTGGTACATTCTAACTGCGTGGCTCATCACATGGCAAAAAATATTTCCTCTCCGCTGGTATGCAGTGGAAGGGGAATTAGACACAAGAAAGGCATTCAAAAGATAGCAAGCTTTTAACTGAAACAACTAAGGAGAAGCTTTCATCATGTAGCCATTCTGAATGACATTGGACATGCAAGTGATTGGCACAGCCTTATTTATTTTTTTCACTTTGATCATAAAATTACTAGGAAAGGCTTAATAGAGTTATAAATATCTTGTTTCCATGAGAGTCCTGGGAAGATAATTATAGCACTGAAGTCTTTACAAAGATAGAGCATTTATAAAATGATATTATCTGAGGACTCCAATGGATAAGGCAGGGAATTCTGTGTTCTATTCCCAGCTCTGCTATTGACTCACTGTGCGTTTTGGGCAAATCACTTCATCCCTTAGTGACTCAGTTTCCTCATCTATAAATTGGGGCAATAATGATAATTACCCACTGCTGCAAAGTCTAGGAATTACAAGTTTTAAGTACTACTCATATCACCAAAGCATTGAAAACACTGCTTGGTAATAACAAACATCTGTAAGAATTTGGGTGAGCTATGCACTTTCCTGAACTGGAAATGTCATATTTAAGGTTACTGATAAATTAGATCACCTGTAGACTTACAGTCAAAATATTAAGGAGAAATATTTAAAAGCGTAAACTACGAAGTTCAAAGATACTAATGAAATGGCTGTATTCTAAACTCTTTGGAAATATTTTTATTTAATTCAAAGGTTGGATTAAGAAGAGCATGGACAAGTTTCTTGTTGAGTAAAAATACAATACTGTTTCATAAAATCAAATACCACACAGCAGCATTATCTAGAAGATTGTCTAGCAGCTACCTGTGAGATATCAACAACGCCTACACTCAAACTTTCCAAACCAAGCTGGATCATGCTTTTTTACTTGTGTACTACTTTTACAGCATTAGAAGTTTGACATATGATTTTTCCCCAAGTAGCAAACAGAGAATTTCAGTAACAAACATCGAAAGAGTTTAATGTGGAAGTATAGTGCACGTATTACTGTTAAATCTTTGTGGCGTTCAAAAATACAAGCAGGGAAGGAGAGGTCATGGCACATGAGCAAACAACTCGACCTGAGCTCCAGTGGGATACTCGGTCTGAAAGGGATGACATGGTTTTTGGATATGTGAACGAGAAATTTTGTCTATGACAAAATTGTCTATGTCTATTTGACTATGTCTCCCGTTGATAGTATTGAAACAGCAGTGGCTGCAGTTCCAGTGGCTGTTGATAAATTTCAGAGGGATCAGAGCCGAATCAGGAGGTTGATAAAAGTGTTGCTAAAACACGTAAACAAAGCAGTATAAAGCCCTTGAGGCAATCTGTTTAGCTTAAGAAAGGGAATGCTAAGAAGTGACTTGAGCACAGCCTGTAACCTTCTAGGCAGGAAACAGAAGTTGAATACTGGATAGGTCTCCCACCCTTCGGAGCTTGCTATATTTTTCTCCAATAGACTGAAGTGAAAGCAAACAAATTCCCTTCTGAAATGAGGTAAAAATGCAGATCATAAAAGGGAATTGTTTTACCAACGACTGCACTGAAGTTGCTATATTGGTAGTTCTGAAAACAACATGGCATGTTTTTCTGAAACGGAGGCTTTTGATGTGGGGTTTGTGCACTCCTGGGACAGGGAGAGGAGGAGTAGGCAATCGCTGGTTACTTTTGAGTAGTCTGCAAAAGGCAAGCCATCAAAGTAACCTTATAGTCTGAAGACCTGAATTCCCTATACAGGGAATTTTGACTTCCATAAAGCAACTTTTAGGGAGCCTACTAAGGCTGAAAGTATCTTTTCTGAAGGCATAATACTTGTCACACAAGGCGGATCTTAAAGGAGATCTTAGATAATCACAGCTGGCCAAAAAGGCCTAAGGCTAAGGAGGATCTTTGTTCTTTATTAAAAGCATAGTTAGGAAGCGGCAAGATTTGGCATTCACTTTTTCTTGAGCCCTTGCTCAGAGATAATTACCAGGGATTTCTGTGAACATCTGACCCAAATGTGCCAAGTGAGGCTCTGAAAATGTAGTCCCTCCCCACTGGCGCTCCCAGGCTCCTCTAGCTATGGGGTCTTGTGTTGGTACAGTGTGCTCCAAGCTGAAGACAGGGCTTTGTCACTCCTTC